GTGGACTCTTTCCTTCAAACAACATATTGGTGGATTCTTTCCATGGTTTGCACCTCCGGCCGATCCTCAGTGTGGTACAGTACCATCCCTTGTTTTGGAAAACACGTCGCGAAGCAACGGGTAATGGGTCGAAACGGGTCGACACCATTTGATACCTGCGAATACTCCACAGATCTTGATGGGTTGCTATGTGATAATTGCATTGAGAAACATCATCATGACTGGCTGATTCGACCATGGGACCTATTGAAACAATGATAAGCCCTTTGACATGGCTTGGAGGGTCCGATATATCGAGTCCCTCCACCCGATGGTTCGATAAAGACACTGTCTGAAGACGCCAGATCGTTATGGGAGACAACAAAAGACATGTCAAACAATATGACAACCATGAAGAGGGTATTCTTGAAGAACCTTGCAAAGACACCACACCCTTTTTGGGCGTTCAAGTCACTCTCTCGCCATGCATTCCTTTCCTTCACCATCCTTCATTTTGTTTCTCCATCACCAAGGTCGTACATATCTACATGTCTCTACCAATAAGCTCTTGCAAAGACAGCAGCAACACCCCTGGACGTCACACCTCTCTCCTCGGCCGCTCCGTTCCTTTCGGGTGCCAGGCCATCAACGTGGTAAGCGCCTCCGGGCGCCTGGTCTGCGACACGGAGCGTTGCCAGGTGCCCTTCGGGAGCACCGCGCACTTCCAGGCGCTCGGGTGGCGACACGAAGGATTTTGGAGCTTCCGGGAGGGAGAGTGGGAGGGAGGGGGCTGAACAGGGAGAGTGGGGAAAGGATAGTGGGGCGGGAGGGCCTTGGAAGTGAGGGGAGTGTGAGTGACATGATGGAGAAACTGCCAAGAAAACTGGGAAAGCAATCTGTTCAGAATTATTCAGGTGCAACGAGGTTTCAGAAAGCATAGTCAAGCTTGGTTTTCTTGGCGTTTCTGAGTCATGAGACTCCCAGAGAACTACAGAAAGTGGTAGGTGACCACCAAAACTATCCAAAACTGGTCCAAACTCAGCCTTTTCGTAGGCTATACATGGCTATACTGTAGATGAGAGGTTTTTCAATCCCAGCCTCCGTCAGGTCCGCGTCGCGCCCAGTGTGGATGCCGGGCTGATCCTTTGCGGCCGGGGGATCCGAGCAGCAAAGACTGGGAGCAGGGCAAGGTGGACATTGGGCACAGGGGCCTTAGGTGCCTGGGGCGAAACGCCAAGATCAGTTGGATTCCTGCAAATGAGGAAGAAGGACCATAGCCGCTCTGGTCCACAATCGTGTTTTTTTGTTGGACCTGGTACAAAGCCAAGTGACTGCCATGCGGTGCAACTTCCAGAACCTGCCAGGTTTTGTTCTGGTTCTGAGTGATCCTTGATGAGATTTCGGGTTCAACCTTCGTTTGGGACCTGCCAAAGCTGAATTTTGATTGGACCAGAACTGGTTGGCTTAACTTCACTGCAGAGTTTGTTTGTCATTTTTTTTTCACCACTTGCTGTCCCTCTTTGGTCGCCGTTCACTGATCTAAGCAGCCGATCTTTGCCGCCCAAACTCAAACAGGTTGGAACGATCCGGTTTTTGTCATTCCTTCAAACCCCACCTCCATCACCTCCCAAATCCCTTCAGCGGGTCCGAAGGGCACAAGGTCTACTATACCCTGGAAGCGGTCTAGTAGGTGTGGGAAGCAACCTTTTCTCAATGCAACATCTTGCGGCCTGCTCCGTTTCGGCGGTCGCCATAGACCTACCATGACCTACCTACACAGCTACTTGATGCCAAGTAGCACATGGAAGAAGGTCCGATCTCAGAAGCGAAGGTCCGAGCCACGACATGCGCCATGCCGAGCCCAAAAGGTCGGTCCCTGGTCCCAGGTCTGCTGGCCATCGACAAGCTTCGGAGGGTCTGAGACGGCCCGACCGTGGGCCGAGACAGCGCAGCTCCGTGTCACTGATCACTGATTGGTGAAGAATAGAAGAGATCCAAAAAGAAGAGTGGAATCATGTGGAATAACCCCAAAACCGGGGCCTTTGTCCGGCTTTTTCCTAGTTGGACGAAAGAGAGCAGACACACAGGAATTTAGGTTTAATTGGCTGAGTAGTCGAAAGCACGAGGGCGATCAGGGGTTATTTGTGAAGCACTTTCTTGGACATCGGGAGTTTCCAGCCTGCTATTTCTCGATCAGCCAGTCAGCCAACCGGCACAATGTGGCCGGCGGGCCGCTGAACAGCAAAATGGTCAGAAATATACATGGGCCGGCCGGTAGAGAAATAGCAGACCAGGTTGCTGTGCTGTCCTTTTCCTGCTTTTCTTTACTTTCCTGCTTCTTGTCATTCTTGTCCTCTTGTGGTACCCTAATTAAGGGACAACCCAAGTGCATCATATGAACGGAACTCTTTCATTCTGCACTCCCTTCTCGATTATGATATACTTGTCTCATGTTTGTTTGCCCTGCGGCCGGAAGTTTTGTTTTTGCCTTGTGGTCCAGTTGGTTCGGATTTTTTGGCACACAGGCCCTAGACGCCCTGAAATAATCATGGACATGGAAAATGGCCTCCTGGACACATATTTCTGCTACAAGCAGCCACTGGACGAACTGTCCGCAAAAAGAATTCCCCAAACGCAACGCAAAAGAATCACCAAACAAAAAAAACATTATAAAACCGCACCCTATCTATAATACCCTAGCCTTCAAAATCATTTAAAGACCATAAACAAGAATGGTTGACCTGGCTTTGTAGAGTAGAATCCTTAGTAAAACATAGTAAAACATAGTAGTAATTAAAACAATGGTTGTTTGGCATACCAGGGTGTATCTGCCAAATCCGATCTCCCATGACAGTCGGTGTTTGGGGAAGTAGCAGAACATGGTGGTACCCTCACAAAGAGATCTCTTATGTTTTCTTGTGTTTTTTTTGCAACTTTTTTGGAATACCACAACTTGTCCTCTTTCCCCTTGGTGATTAGGTCACTAGGGGATCTATAGTTACTCCAGGACCACAGTCACGAAATATCACGCATGTTGTTTTGAAGAAATGAGTCAAGAGCTGCGTTGAACCAGAAATCATTAATGACAGTTGCTGGATCACGTCGGAAAGTGAGACCTGTACAGGTAGTTAATTGATCACAGAACAAAGTTTTTGTGAAGGCATCGAACGCGCTTGAGTCTTAAATACTCAGTCACGTTCAGATTCCTTCTGCAGAGCTGACCGTGATGGCTGCATATGACAACCATCTTGACCAGCTTGACATGAAATTCGTTGGAGACTTGAAATGTCACCGTTGTGAGGTTTTGGTCTTCAAATCCCCCTTGCGGAGGCAGGGGCTCTGAAGGCAGATGCCCAAGCACGCAAGGATTGCAGACTCTTGGAGGGACAACAAAAATCATCGAACGGCGATAATGATTGTCATTGCGCTGTGAACATAACCTTAGACTGGAAAAACATTAAGTGCAACTTCAAATGCCAAAGCACACCACCACACACACACACGGTCCAGCCATGTTTGGATGTTTGAGTTTGCACACAAGTGGAGCGCTTAGAGCCAACTCTTTTGCACTTCAGCTCCCTGTAGAAAGGGCCTATGAGTTGTTGCCGACCTACAAGTTACATGACTGACGTCTACTCACTAGCTAGGAGCATTGGCAAGAGAGAATGAGGTCTTCATAGGCCCTATGTAGGCTAAGACAAGCGGCACCAGCCGTGGGTTGTTACAGATCGACCGGTTGCACGAAGCCGATAGAGAAAAAGGGATCGCTCTGTGGGGAGGAGGTCATCTGTGGGGATGTTCCGGGGTCATCTGTGGGTCGTCGTATCCTGTCAACCCTCATGTGGTTCGTTGACCCCCAAAACCATCAAAAACCTCATGAAGAAGCGGCCACCAGGACTGCTCAGATGATCTCATGCTCTTCGATCCAATCCAATTGAGAGTATTCATTACATATTATATATATACATGAGTTGACCTTGCCATTGCAGCATTCTCAGTCTGAACAGACTTAAGCTGGCATCCGTTGACCCAGCACTTAAGTGGCCATTGACTTGGGGGGGGCCAAAAAACAGACGAAGAGACTTGGGACTTGGAGCGTGTTTCCACGCGTGGCGCAGCGATGCCGAACTCAAAAGGGATTGGAAGAAACAGAGGCCCTCCTTCTGCATCATGTCTCGTTCGGGTGTTGTGAGTGAACAGATGTGAACAGCATGACGGAGGCCGCAACTTTCACTCTTTCACACCTCAGAACGTTCTTTTTCGACTCTAGAAACCCACGCCCAAATCGATTGGAGAATGTATCTCTCGCTCTTAAACCAGAGTGGAGGACGAAATCATGCCCCTTCGTTCTGAGAAGGACTTCGCTCCATGCACTTCCCATCCCTTGGAGTCCAACTCCCGGTCCCCCCCCCGCGATCCCCCCCAAGTCCGCCTGGGCGATGTCTTGGAGGAAAGCAAGTCGAAACCGGGGGGGTTGCTTATATAGATACCGATTTGGCATCCGGTGGCTTGCTGCTAGACAAATCTGATGGTTTTTGGTCTGTTTTTGTGTTTTTTCTTGGGGTTTTTAGTCTGTCTCAGTGGTCCACCACAGCACATACAGACCTGCAGGGTGGACCACAGAAATCTCGCACCCCCCACCCCCCGGTCCCGCCGGTCTCGGGTCGCCTAACGGGGAATCACGAGCGTTCCGGTCGAAATCGTCTCGGCTCAGAGCGGGGGATCAGATGAGGGGATCGGGTGACCATGTGGAAGCCCATCCTCTTAAGGCTTAGTTAAGGATGGGCTCCCGAAATGGGGTCAAATACTATGAGACATAGTATGAGACACTACTGAGAAAGTCACACCTACATGAGAAAGTCTGACATTTCTTTTTGTTGAGGTCGAGAGAGGGATCTGAATCCGCTGAGGTCATGATGCTTGAGGAAGGAGAAAGTCCGATACTTTGCACGCTTGACAGTAGTAGAACTTTGAAGCCAGGGTGTCTTCAGTCCAAGGGTGAACCCTTCCAAACCATTCGGATATTTTTGTTGCACTCCTGACTCCTGTCCTGCATGGTCTAGCATGGCTCCAACGGAGAGGAGCGATGAGGCTGGTGGGCTTCCGATCGATGTGGGCCGCAGAGCGGGCGAAGCAGCTCCCCCCCAAGCCATCCATCATCCAATGCACCAGTGAGAGTATGGATGAGTGAGTGACTGTTGAGACACGATGAGACCTGAAGATCCGCTCAACATGTTGAGACCTCAAGATCTGCTTGAGACCTGAGGATCTGCTCATCCTCAAGTAGATGGAATTCAAACAAATTCAATCATGTGACCTCAAAGTTCAGAAAAGTAGATAGAATATTTAAGACACATAACACCCTTTTTTGATTTTTTAAGTTCGGACTTAGAAAGATAGTAACGACAAGGGCAGTTTTGTTTTTGTTAGCTTGTGGATTGCTCCCAAATGCCCCAGCAGAGGCACATTGTTAGCTTTGTGCACAAATGGCTGCAGAAGCGCAAGCTCACAAGATAAATTCAAAACAAACACTCACACAACAAATATCACGCTCGCAAAAAACGATGCAAAACGGCATATTTTGGAAAACAACACTATTCCATATACCCCTGAAATTATTCCATGTACCGTTTTTGAAGTTTCAAAAACATATGGCCTCATAAAAATCCGGAACGTTCAACAAATACCGTCGCTCGTAGGTTGGAGGCCATTACTTTCAGGTTGGAGGCCATTCCTAGTAGATTCCTTTTGCTATTGAATTAGGTTCGTTTGCATTGGTTCCGCCCGGGTTACCCCCGTTGGCCGAAACTGGATACACCTGTCAGACAACGGAGAGATGCTGCACCAAACATGTTTTTTGGAGGTTCAAGGAGGTTCAAGGAAAAGCTGGGTCTTGATGCTGTGGAAATCCTTCCCCGTTTTTAAAACGAAATTCCACAGTATAAAACCCCGCACCTGCAACATTTGATATGATTTTCCCTCCGATAACCTGAGAGTTGAGATGGATGGAAGGTCTTCCGTCGAACCAACGAAAGAGATGATTTCAACGTCCAGCTGCCTCTGGAGGCTCTTGAGCAGTGGCTCCCCGTCATTGAGGGGCTCCATCTCGGGCAGCTGGTTCAGGTGGAGGCCAGGCAGTGCAGCTGGTTCGGGTCGTGCGGTCGTGCGAAGCAGTAAGCGCCCGTAACCGCGCAAAAAATCGTTGAGGTTCGTGTCGTGTGGTGGCGAGGTAAGTGATGAAAAGCGGTAAACATTCAGAACCTGTTGATCCTTCTTTGTCATTGAATTTATAGTAACATTCAACTCATTTTCTAATCGCTAAAGGGTTCGAATCTATCCAAATGACCTTGGACAATGGCTTCCAAGTGAATCCTGGCCAGAACCAGAACGTGTCCAGTCAGAAGGAACCAAGGTTTCCATAGTGTTCCTGAATCTCTGCCACTGATTCTGTTTACCTGCTTAAAGCAAACTAAGTTGCTGCCACACTCTCCTTCTCCCGCTGAGACCGAGAGCTCCGCTGCGGAGTCGCGGCGCCCAGTGGAACCGCAGCACAGGGCGTTGTTAGGAGGGTCGGTGGTAAAAGTGAAGAGGAACCGCAGGTTTTTTCGCGACAGGCTGGCCGGGCCGCGTGTCAGTTCACGAAAATAGAAGGTAGCAAGAAGCGAGCCTAAAGGAATACGCAAGAAATCACAAGAATACTGCAGGTGGAGAAAGACATCTGCACCAACTCACCACAACAGAGATCTCCTGTGCTTTAGATACTTGCAGTTTGTGCAAGAATCCCCCTGTCCAATCTTGTTACAAGATATGTTACAATTCTGTCCCACTCTTTTCTTTGACCTTCACCTTGGACCCCAACCCAGCACCCCCAACTCACACCACGACCCATGGGGGATGTGTCAAAACCTGGAGCCCCAATATCTTGACCTCCCAGGTAGGGAAACACCGGTCGGTCAGCCGCTCCGGTCGGTCGCCATGACCCCCCGGTCGGTCGGTCGGTCGCCGGTCGTTCGCGCCGGAACCCGCGTGGGAACCTGAGGCGCGGTCAGCTGATCAACTGGCTTCCTGACCAAGGAGTTTTTGAAGTCGCCTTGCTGAGCGACTTGGTCAGCGCGTTGACTCGCGACACTTGTTCTCGGCGCGCCAAGGCGACATGTTTTTTGGGTTCGGTTGGAAGGAAACTGCGAGGAATAACAATTGCACGGTGGATGGGATGTGATGGGCATTAAGGAAGGGGCATCCGGGTGTTTGTTTTTTTGTTTTTTTTTTTCATGTTATTTTTTTTTTCCTTTTTTACCTTTTCTGTGAAAGGAAGGGAAGCTCAGAGTTTGATGAGAGTTCTGGATATGTTCTGACCGGGGATCATTACATCTCCTATTTGAGATGTTTGATCTTAGTAAGGGTCCATGTAGATCTTCCAGTCTCACTGGTCACCCAAACGACCAGTTTACCCCGGTCACCCCGGGTCTCCCGGAGCGGCACCGGCACCGGGTGTTTCACGCCACCGAGGCTCTGGGCGCGTGGTCACGGTGGATCCCAAGGACTGCCATACGGTGCTCGATTGCCAGGCGCGGGTCCCGGCGGAGCGTGGGCGAGGGAAGCGGGGGGTGGGGTGGTGGGGTTTCCAGGGACCGGAGGGTATGTGGGTCCTGTCGTTTGGACACTGGGTCTGTGGTGGGTCTGTGGAAGGCAATGTTTGTACAAGCTCATACAAGCTCACAATCCAGCTGTAAGATGTTTCAAGTTTCTTCTGGGTTGTGGAAGTGTTTATGTTTGATCATGGTATGCATTCCTATAAGGTTTCAATGTCAATTCCTATATTGTACACATCTGCATCCGAGCGTGTACAGTAAGATTAAAGGCCCAGGTACACGAGTTTCTTTTGTGTGCACAAACATTGTTCTGATGTTGGTTTATGTATAGTTCCGATCAATTACCCTCCACCTTTGTTTGCTAGAGAAAATTAGAGAAAAACAATGGACATCCATGAAACATCGATTAAGAAACCATTTACATATCAACTCATTGCTTCTAAGATCTTCTAAGTGTGACCTGGCCTCTTGGTTCTGCTTTTTTTCAGTGCTTCGTGGATCCGGTTTCCCGGACGTGTTCCACCCACCGGACGCTTCGCCGTGTGGTTCGTGGACCCACCTGCAGGGTCCAGCCACCGGCGGCGGTCCGGAGAGCTTCGACCTGGTCATTGGGCCCCGGACCAAGCGCGACGTGCTGGGCGAGGTGCGACGAACCGGGGAATGCCTGCGCGAACGGGCGAACGGGGAACTGCGCGGCGAACGGTGGCGAGGTGGGTGTTGGACGGTGGAGGCAATAAACATCAACCCCTCCTTCCGATTTGGTTGGGTCGTTCACATCTTGTCGAGAGTCGAAAGGCTTTTGATGTGAGAAGTGGATCGTTGATGGCCACAAGTTTGCAGCCACACAGGTTTGCTTTTTAGCATTTTGTTGTGCAATTAATTCAATTCATCATCCATCGCCCATTTGCATTCCTGCATATCTATATGGTTGCTAGACTCAAAGCATCCGTTTCAGGGCATGTTAGCCGCCAAAATGGAGAGCTAGAGGAAGTCGTCATCAGGTGCTCATTTTCTTCTTCAAGATCTTTTACATCCGCAGGGCTAGTTATTAGAACGAATTGGCAGGGTGTACGTTTCTTTACCGTCAGCATGTCCGCAACTTCGCTCTTTGTTTTAAACGGTAGCGGCACTTCTTCACCCCCGACCGCAAACGCACCGAAGAGCTCGCTCGCTCCGAAGAGCGGAAGCGTGGTTTGGTCGCTGCAGCTCCACTCGACCTCCTGGACATCCGATCCGAGAGTATGGCCAGGCGCTGTCCAATCGCCTTCTAGAACGAGGCAGCGTGGAAGCAAACGTCCAACCCGGGTCCTGGAAGGAGATCGGCGCCGACTAGCCGACTTGCGAGCCTGGGCCAGCCTGGCTTAGTCATTTCAAATCATGGCAATTTCAATATGTTATTAACATGTTTGCATATTATAAAATATATATTGAAGCTTTACTATATAGCTGGAATGGTAGTTAGTTCTTGCACCCCAGCGCGGGATTCCTGATCTACCCAGCAGCCCAGCGCGGGCAGGTTTTTGTGTGCTACGTCTCGTCCAGAGAGAAGATGATCGAAGTCAAGTGCACAAGGCGCAGCTTTTGGGTTCCTGTGGTATTTTCAGCTCCAACAAGTGGAGATGTTGTGTGAAACATGGCGTTGATGCATGGATGTTTGTTGAAAGGGGCGCTTGCACAGTGGAGGGGATTGCTTCCAAAGAGGGGATTTCTGTTGGAAGTTGGACAGGTATGTATGTATGTTTCTTTGCATTTGGACGGTGGTATTGACTTGGGGTATGTGAACCATGGCATGCTGACAGACGAAGCTGCTGTGTTTCACAATACGCATGATGGCCAGACATCCCCGGAACGGACCCCTCCCGCCGTCTTCGGAACTGACTCGCCACGGGCTTGCAGATGATGCAGCAGTTCGACTCTGATGGTAGGTCGTGCACTTGGGCGTTTCAGCGAGAAAAGGGAGAAAACTGGATTGGGGGGTAAAAGGTCATGTTTTGCAAGGCATTTTTGCCATCATCAAAAATCATCAAAACATAATAGATGACCACATGTGCACCAGTCCAGTGCTCAAGGAATCAATTCATTTGATGGTGCTTACAGAAACTTACAGGTGGACCATTTGTTGGTCCAGGTCTCTGAAGCAAAGACGATCCTTGCAAGTCTGAGATCAAAGCAGTACAGTACTGGAAGTAGTAAACTATAGAAAAAGGGCAGCAATGGTAGAGATGTGCACGATAATTGTCATGGTGTTCTCACGTTTTCAGATCTATACTGTACTTTGGGTCTCGGAAAATGGGTGTATGACCGCCGGATACCGCCGGTATACATCCTGCTATCCCCTTTAGGTATGTTCAATAGTCCGGGGACAGGAAACGGCCTTGCATTTGTTAATATTTATTATATTGCGTTCTTCCCAGTGAGTTTGGCCAATTTTGGTCGGGTTTTGTGCTAGCTGTTACCTGGTTGGGCGGTGTGCCAGAAAGCAGCCAGCAAACCAGGCTGTGCCGGCTTGCCACAGAAGTGGAGGAAGGATACCTGGGGAAGCCTGGATCCCAGGTATTGACACGTGTGCAGGGGGCGGGGATTTGGATCAACGATATTATTGTTTAACTGATACCAGTGCTAGTTGCCAGTATCGAATGGACAGAGAAGACACATATGAAGACTCCTTCCAAGGTTTCCAAGCAAATCCAAGGAACTTCGATGCATATGCGAGGGTAGTCCATTCGTAACTCTGTTTTTGCATCAATTCCTCTTCCAGCGATTTTCGCCCTAGCAACATCTGGCAGCGCATGGTTTGCTGAACTTGTGTTGTGCCGCAAAAGCGACGCCGGACGCCCAAACGAGTTTGTTTCCATCTGAGTCTTGGTTTCATCACACTCGAACCGCTACTTGCATACTTTTGGTCGACTTGTCCATTTCCAACCATCCCTCGTGTTTCCGTCGGACCAGTCCCATTCCACTTGCTTAGCCGATGCATCAAACCCTGACTCGCTTCTACTGCCCCCATGACCGTCGCTGAAGCCGCCGCGACCGAGCGGTCGCTGAACCACCGCGGCTCCAGGGGTGGGCGCGGCAAAGTGATGTGGCTGGATCCCGAAGATCCCTCGGTGCCCCACAATTCCGCCCTCCGAAGGCCAGGTTCGGCGCGTGGTTCGGCGGATCGGCCCTGGTTCGGTCGAACAAGGGGGGGCTTCGGGGTTTGGGAGGGGCACAGGGCGAGGTCGTTTGGGGTTCTGAAGTGCTGGTCGACACGTTCCCGGAGCGACTGCTCCGGGTGGCGGTGAGCAGGCTAGACTGGCTGTAGGTCAAAGCGTGCTTGACCCCAAAATGGACCGAATCGACTACTAAGTGCGGTCAACCTAGCAGGGTGAGTTCCGGGCTCCGGGTCGAACGACCCACTGCCAACTCAGAAGGGACTGTCAGACTCTCAAGAAACTGCGTTTTGTGATCGATCGAAAGAAGTCTAAATTGGAATTCATTTGGTGGTGGATCCTCCTCGTCCAGGAAGTCTACAACCCAGTTTGTCCATGTTTGTCCAAACTAACCAGACCGCCGCTTTTCCAGCGGCGGCTGCCGCCCTCGCTGCAGAAACGATGCCAACATCACCAGCCTGGCGGAGATCCTACAACCCTTTGCGGAGGAGCGTGGGAGATGCCACAGTGGTAGACCCCCACCGTCAAGTGAAGGATCCTATAGGGAGAAGAACAGAACAGAACGTGAGGCAAGATTGCTTCCAGACTGGGAGAAGCTTAGGGAACGGAACTTCAACTTCCTGACCATGTCAAAAAGAGATCCCAAATGATCCAAACGGCCCGACCTTCTTCACCCTTCAGCACCGGCCGAACCGCCGCATGACGCCGTGAGCCGCTCTCAAAGAGCGGCGGCTGAGTGTCGGTGCGTCGATGGAGGATGTGTTGGGCGCTCCAATCGCAGAGAGGACGCCAGCCTTGGCGTGCATGCGGGGTGCACCCAAGGGAGGAGCGTGGATGGGCAGAGAACGAATGCCTCTCCAGGTCATGTGAGGGAACCCAGAACTTCCAATGACTCATTTTACTCCACCACCATGGGGGGGGTCGCAAGTAGTGGCGTCCAGGTTCTCTTTGGTCAGAAAAGTCTAAAAGTATCAAAAATTGGAGTCTTGACACAGAACCCCACTGGCTTCCTGCGATATGTTCTCGACCTGCAGTTTCCGGGGGGTGGCGACACAACTGGAAGTCCTTGCTGCTCACACTCTCGAAGTGGGTTACTCAGCAGGGAGACCCTCAAGCAGCTGGGAGCGTTTTGGGAGGTTTTTCCTCCGACCTGGCTGGGGCGTCTCCATCCAGCTAGCTTTGGCTCTTGTTCTAACCACATAGCCTGGCGAATGCCGGTCAGACCACTCCAGGGTGCTTGTGCCTCCGGCGCCGGTGCTTCGAGGTGGTCGACGGGTCTCAAGAGGTCAGGGTCTCGAGGACGGAGCTCATTCTGGATGACCCAGACACGACCCATGGGACTGCCATAGATGCCGCCGCCCCATGGAGCCCTCAACACCAGCCCAACTGATCGGCATACATGGCAGTCCCATGGAGTGTGTGGGTAAGAGGAAGGTTAGACCTTCTGACAGGATGATAACTACATATAACTACCATGGCTTTCCAAGGTTTAGTTTTCCAAGGCTAAGAGATGATAACCTGATGAATAAGAAGACCCACAGGTGAAGTTTAGTGGTTTGTCATGGTTTGTCCTTTTGCCAGGTGTTGATGTGGGGGAAGATTCCTCGTGGATTCCATCTCGTTCCATGTGTTCCAATACGCTCAGCTCTTCTTAGGATCACTTGCTTTACCATCTACATCATCTATATACTTGGGAGCACACTGAATGCCATGTTCAGCGTGTTTCTTATCGCTAGTTCAGCCCTCCGTGTCGTGATTCTTCCAACGGGGTGCCCGTTGGGGATCCCGCCGATCAGGTCGATGACGGATGCCGAAGAGGCTGTCTATGAGCATCCGACGGCCTCGGATACCATCATCGAGGCGCGGTAGTCTGAGGTGTTTGTCCCAGGGTTTTTTCCCGAGCTTCGGACAACTATATCCCACAACGGCCCTCGCACGAGACTGTTAGGAATTGTAAGCTGTCACAGTGCCGGCTCAGACGTGAGCGCTGGAAAGACTCTCAAGTGCCGAGGCTGAAGAGACCGCGAAGGAATTGGTGTGCCAAGGTATACCATAGAGAGGAAGACTGATCTTCAATCGAGCAAGGAACTCCCGGTTGGAGCATCGTGGAACCGAGCTCGATGTGCCCGAAATCCGTCCGAGGTTTAATTTACGGTTTCTGAATAGATGGCACTGGTACCCCAAGATGTCCTTTAGATGGGGTTCCACATCAACCACCAAACTACATAACCCGATTTGACAGACCCCTGTTTGGGGAAGATGGTCTTCTAGAAATCCGGTGCTTCTCACCTTTCTTCGCAAGTGTGTTTGGTCACCAATCTCCTTGTTGGCGCCACAAGAGTATATATTAAATTACCATGGTTACTGTGATAAAACATAAAATCATATCCTTTCCCCGAACTGAACATATCCTTGCAATGACCCCCACTAAGTCCCTCTCGTCCGGTCCGGTCCCACGGTCCGGTCCGGCCGGTGCGACGTCCCCCGTCCCGTCCGCAGGAGTTCTACGGCAACTGGGCCCGCAGCGTGCTGAGAGTGGTGCCCGGTTGGGGGTCCGAAGGTCCGAAGAGACGCGTCTCGTTCGATCGGGGTCCCGTGGCAATCCATTGCATGTATATCACGGTACATCATGGTACCAATAGCTCTACAGCCTGGGGTTTTCCCAAGGGCGAAGACACTTAGTTCTCTTTTGGCCCTTTCTTCCTTTTGGTCCGGTCCAAGTCCCAGGACCGTTCGAAGCTTGTACCGAAGCTCCGTGTGACTCGTCCGTTCGTGGCACGTGGAGAGTTCGGAGCTAGCGGAGAGTGAGCAGACCGAGGTGGACCGAATTAGGAGGTCGGAAACGACTTCCGGGACATAGTCGCAGAAGAAGTGGAAGCATGTTTCTGGGACTTTGGTCTGTTCCTTGGGAAGTATAGTTCTTTTTTTGCGTGTGTAGATCAGATGACCAGGATCGATCTTGACCCGAACATTGTCATCCCAGGTTTTTTGCCTTGTGGACTGACCCACGGCTATCCGAACGGCCTCGCGGATCCTCGGGCGGATCCCGATCCGACGACTTCCCTCTGGGATCTGAGAGACGGATCCGAAGGTGCCAAACGTTCATCTTTTTTCGGGACTGACTGGCATCTTTCACAACTTAGCGGTGGTTTTTGGTCACGGTCACGGGGTCAAGGGTCTTCGGATGATATCGGCATCTCGTCTTCGGTGTTTCGGGATGAAACCTCAGTGGACTCCACGTCACCTCTGACCCATGATCATCAGTACGCCCAATGGGCCCATGGGCGTCCCGCGAACAGAACAGGTACACTTCATGGGCCCGGGCGAGTGCAAGGCGTGGCGTTCCAGCGCTTTCTTTGGGCCCCTTGGAGCCAGGGGGCTGCCAGGGGCCGGACGATCAGGACGGTACTTGGTTGAATAATGACATGTTTCGGCAAGCAGATTGGAAGGTTCCGGTCCTTGGGATCCTTGGGGGTTGCGGTTGGCCCATGATAGTGCGCATCTCGATGCGCAGAGGCCACCAAGTCCTTAAATCGGAGGGCTTTCAGCACACACAAACCCCAGAACGGTTAGGCCAGGACCCTGGCGTTGGTGGCAATCTTCGTTTTTTTCTCCCAGGATGGCTTGACCGGCAGTGATTGAGGTTGATGGCTAGCCCTAGACCGGAAGTGTCTGAGGAGCCTGGGCCAGCTACACAGCATCCCTTCCCGAGCTTCGAGTTGATGGTTGGCTAGAATTTAAAACGCGCCGATGATCGGCTTTGTGTGCGAGAGGAGAAAAAACGAACATCCCTTCATGGCGTTGAGCTATGCCAATTGGCATAGCTCAGCACCTCGGCCAGTGACGCCACAGTCGGGACGGTGCCCCCACCGTGCCAAGATGAGCCCAGTCTCATGTCGTGGGCTGTGCGACGCCGTATTTTAGGCTGGAGGTTTGGACGCATTTTGGAACTGTCGTTTTCTTTTTTCTGAAGGTTCCGAGTAGTTGGACAACTTAGGGATGTCTGCCCGGAAATGGTTGAATCATGTTGAATCTAGCTTAGGTCCTTCAACAACTTCTTCTGCCAGCCGCAAAAACTTGAGAGACAGCATGGCAGCATGGCCCCCACAAATAAATGCCCAGTTGACCCTATAAGCCTTACTAGGAGGCACGCCTTCTGCCATTTAGGGTCTATATAGTATATAGTCCTTGGTTCCATTTTATGTAAAAGTAGGGGCAGTAGCGTCCAGTTCCATGAACCAAATATATTATATTAGAGATCGTCCACAGAAACTCACACTGCAACCCCATGAAACAGCGACTGACCAATGATAAAAGAAAGCAGCTTGACTTCTTTCTTTTGAGGTGTTTGGCGTTTTTTGGGGTTGCAAATGGGTGTTGGCCCATTGCTCCAGCCAGTGGATCCGGCTCCGGCCTGGCCCAGAAGGGCCGAAGTGGGCAGGTGGAACTGACGGCAAAAGAGGATGCTCCACTCAGCAAGGTGGAAGAGAGTTACGATCCTTGTTTGCACCTAAAATGTGTCATAACAGTTGGAGAAGCGGTTCGGGACATCCCTAAGATCCGCTCGGAACAAGACTTGCCGTTCAAGAGCTTACTCAAAAAAGCCAGCTGTCACGTCAGCTGCCCTGAGGAGATCACTGCTGGTCCAAACACGTGGAGCTGGCCTGTTATAACAGAGGAATGCCTGTCCCTGCCTGTGCTGCGAATCTCACTGTCCCTGCCTGGACCGAGCGTTCATTCTCCCGCCAGGATCCTCCTGGTCCGACAAGACACCTTCGATTTTTGGTGAAGTGCTTAGCTGTTGTTCAGCAACTGCGCTTGGCCATAGGCTGAAAAGAAAACATAGACCTTGACCATCAGCTGTGACACCGCCTTGTCCACTGCCTGGACCATTCAAGAGGTTTTGGGTTTGGAGGCGTTTGGAACCTATCTAGTACTGTAATGTACTGTATAGTATAGGTGGAGCAACTACAGGTCCACGTTTACTTGGTCGCACCCTCAAAACCCACCTGACTGGCCCAATTCTGAGTTCTGACTGGCCCACGCTTAGATTTGACACGACGTACAAGATTTGAGACCTTTCGAGCCTTTTATTTTGAGTCCCACAACTTCATGAGGCCCCACACATCGTAGAGTATATATAGTAACATATAGTAACGGAGAACATCTATGGTTTGGGTATGTTTGGGTTGGACCCTATTTATTCAGCTGTAAAGGGGAAGGAGGGCCGACCATTTTGAGTCTGAAGAGGTTCCGATCGCATCCTATAACATCCTTACTATAACCATAAATCATCATGACCCAAAAAGGTTGCGGTTGATGGTGGGCTCAACCCTGGCCCGGGCTCCACCCAACCCTTCGCACGCATGATTTTGCGCTTTCTGAGGTGCGATGAACCGGAGGATGAGAGCGATGCGTTCTGGCTTCAGCCAGGGGATCCAACTCTTTTGGCTGAGGGAGGGAAGCAGCCGCGTGTGTCTCCAGCTTGGAATCCAATTTGGGCCAGAGGCTTGAGCAGCGCAGCCGAAGTCACGAAGTGATTACCCCGAAGTCATTAGTGGCGGAGTTGATGATTTCATCAGGTATTCTTGACCCACTGAAGCTGTATATATTATACGCTTTAGTCAGTCCTCACAACCTTTGGCCGGCTATAACACCGAATTCCAGGACCCGTTCTGCGGCCCATGTTGAAACTTTGCAGCCGTGAAACACGGCCTGTCTGGGATGTTCGTGGCTTTGTGGCTTTGTCCGCATCCCCCCGCCACCAAAGCAAGGCCACGAACAATACTAGAAGCAAGAAGCTACTAGGGGCTCCTGGCATCGCTACTAGGAGCGATCGGACGCTACGAACGGGGCTCCTGGCCGTACTACTAGGAGCAAGGCCCGACCTCCATCGGCCTCCATCGACCGCGGGTCGCCGACAGGGCCTTCCTGCTGCGCGCGGGGCCCTCGTGGACGCTGGGCGACTTGATCGATGGCGACCTGAGCCTCCTCGTCAGCCGAGGCGCCCCGAGAAGCGAAGAATCGGTGGACCAAAAGGGATAGCCTAGTAGCGTCCTTGCTCCTAGTAGTAAGGCCAGGAGGCCCTAGTAGCTTCTTCTTACTAGTAGTAAGCCATGGATGGCATGTTAGCATCCGAACTTGCGCAAATCAGATTTGCGCGAACCCATCATGGTTTAGAAGAGGGATGTGCTGTGTGATATGAATCCCCAAAGGAAGATTTCATGATAATATATCGAAGACGACATCATAAAGATGTTTCGCTTAGACCTTGCAGGTGGGCCACTTGCTTCCAATTTGCTCCAAGTTGGTTGTTAGTTGATACAGATCGACGCATAATTACTGGATCACTGGACAATTAAGGAATTCCTTAAAACCTCATTGCTCCTTGTTTCATCCTAACATGCTGGGATGCCCCATGCTTTCCACAATCCTGCAAAAACAATCCCCAGATGAACTCTCTCAAGGCCTCCAACCGCTGTCACCACCTTGTGGCATTGTGAATGTAGGCCTTCCTCAGCTTTCGATACATGGCTTCCATGTTGACCATACATTTGGCTGCAGGGAAAACCTATGGCTTTCATATTATATTGTGTTGTTGAATCCTAGTCAACCCGAACTTAACGTAACTGGAATCAAAAAACTGCAATCAATGCATGCAAAAGGAATTTGTTGTTGTTGCTGCTGCTTTTGTTGTGATGGTCTCGTGTCAGTTCATGCTAAACAGCACCACATGGTTTTCCGGAAAACGTGAATGGAACCGCTTGGCAGGTGATGGACCACCGCCTCCATCGGGCTCTGAGGTGGTGGCGGTGGTGCCTTGGAGCACCGTGTGCGCACCGACGAGCCTCCCGGGGCCTCAACCCGGGAGTCCAGACCATCGGACCGGGAAAGTAGGCGTTTTTTTTTCAGGTAGTATATGGATCGATCCAATAGTAGAATAATAGAACAGTAAATCCCCAGAAAAATGTGTTGGACTCCTGTTCGATCTATTTGGGGACCCCTAATTATAGACTTGGATATTACTTGTATGACTATGATTGGAAGATGGAAGCAGATGAGCTTGCTTTTCGGCTGTCAGACAGGTTTAGGTGCAATCAATTGTGAGGACCGCACAATCAGTATTAATCAATATTGATGGGTTAAACATGGTTAAAATCCATTTGACTCTGCTTTCAATCTTTGGTTTGACTCGGTCTTCTATCAGACAATCGCCTTGGTGAGTACTGCCAGGGTTCGATGACCTGTATTTCGGTGAACGGAAACCACTGAACACTTTCGGCGGCGCCGATGCTCTCAGGTGGCCTTGTCCTTGCAAGCGTGCGGGAAGATGACTGACCACCACAAAGAGCTGGGGAGCCCAAAGATGTTTGCAGAGACTTCTTCAGAAATTTCAACTTTTCACCTCAGTCAGTAGATGACCTGATAGAGGTAGACTCTGGACTAAAGCGAAACATCGACAGATCTTTGAAGAAGAGCGTGCGTTCGTAGACATCCAAGTTAAGGCGGAATGTCGGTGACTGTTCTCCATTTCTTAGACTCCATGACTGTTCTCCATTTCTCTTGTGGGATGGACAAGGGGGGTCAGGGCGTAGTCCGTCGGTTGAACACCGCCTGGTCCGTCGGTTGCCACGGAACTCGGCCGTGAACCGGGCCGAATGAACGAAACATCACACCCAGCGGTGAAAAAAAAAGGGGTGCTGTTCATGGATCGTAGGGGTGGCTCTCTGAACATTCCCTCACATGGAACTGACAGCAGGACACAAGAAATGGTGATCTTCTTCAAAGGTTCACCATCTCAGCTCCTCTGACCTTTCAGTTTTGTAAGTATTGTTTTGTCCCAGCAGCACCGTAAGCATGTTTGGTGTCCAAACGTATTGCAGCTTGTTTGTCAATCCCTGCAATGAAATCAGAGAAAGAGACTTACTAATTATATAATCACGAAAGGTAGCTTGAGCTACCTGAGTTCTCCTTGCTTTAGCAAAATTACAATCAGGAGTTGGGATTGTGCATTGAATTTGGTCCTGTAAGAGTTGATTCTGTAAGTCGGGGGGGGGGCCCCCCCTGGATCAAACCCCCCCTGCGCCGGTTCACGCCGTCATGGAGGGTTACTTGTGATTGCCTGCTACCTTTCGTTCACCCCCTCCTCTCTCAAGTTGACTATACCGACGGACTGAAAGATAGAATGCCTACCGGGGGGTGGGATTCCAGGGTTTCGCTACCACTTAGAATGCCTCCCAGCACATTGAGGCGTACCTGAGACGTGTCTTTAAAAACATATTGAGGCGTACCTGGGATTATTTATATAGACTATATGACTATATGTATAATATGTGTACTGTATAGAGCTCAGTTGACGCAAAACACTGTAGCCGGGCTGACAGTTAGAATGCCTCCCAGCAAACCTTTACTATTTGTGGGGCATTGGAGGCATTGGGGCAGTGTAGGAAAATGAGACGGACATTCGTAGAGCCACAATCGTAGAGCCGGTACCACATAGAGCCACTTTCAGTCCGGCAGTATAGTGTATCTCTTGATAACCGTCTCTCGTCCAACTCTGCGACATGGAAAGAGTGGTTCATCCTGATTCATCTTTCTTCACCCCACTGATTCCTTCACTATGCCTCACTATACCCCACTGATTCCTTCGGTCAAAGAGCCTCCGTTCTCCTGTCTGGTCAATGATTTTTTGTGTTCGTCGTGTCTTTTGGTGTCAGATCATCGAATCACCCGACCCCGACCCCAAACGAATTTGGGGCTCGCAGCCTGCAGGATCCACCCTCGGTTTTGCCGGTCATAACAGGTCATAACGTGTTCCAACGTTGGTTTCACCAAAGTACAAACATGGTCAAACACGATCAACTTGTTCCGGACTGGAACAACAAGTAGTTTTCGGTTTGTCCAACCATGGTCCGGACCTGGGCATTGCATCATATTGTATCCACGAAATATGTGGCACAAGCTAAGGGCCCCGATATGCTGAAGAATTCACCTTGCCAAAGGAAATTCCAACTCGACATGACATGTTTGTATGGCCTGCGGATGACAGGACTTTGAAACAACTGCTCTTCAACATGGCACCCTTTGCAACAACAGGTTCTCATGATTGAATCGCAAGGTCGGTACTCGGTAGGTTGTTCTTTGCATTTGTCCCGGCACCCATCCAATCCGAACCAATCCAAACCAAATCCAAACCAAATCCAAATCCAGTCCAAATCCAAACCAAATCATGATCACTACCAATCTCAGCCAATCTCAGCGAGCCGAACCACCAGCTCTGGTGGTGCGGAGCCAGGTGGGCGGCCTACACCGCCGGCTGCGACGCGCAGCTGGAGATGCCCATCACCCGCTTTGACGCTGAGCGGTGTTGATCGTCGAAGGGGTCGGAGAGCGATGGGTTCAGCGTTGTTTGTGAGTCGATGGGTTCAGCTCCTCAGGCTGCTGGTCTTCAAGTTGTGGCTCAGCAAGAGAGCACGTACCCGATAACATTAGCCTTCTAGTCCCCCTGGTAGCATCCCAAACCCACGGCTGGTTTAAATGACAACTATGACCTGCGTGTTTGTGGGTTGTTTATTCTTCAATCACAATCACCTAAATGGTCCATGTGTCCGTAGGAGGTATAACTGATAAACATCCCAATAAGATCCAATAAGCACACTGTCATCCACAGGAAGTGCATCTGCGAACTGGGGTGCTTAGTTTAGGCATTTCAGACCCACGTCCATCTGCAGGGAGGGTATGAGAGGGTCCACCGTTGTCTACCGACACCCATTCTGAAGCCCGCACGTAGTCCGTATTTTGAGGGCGATATATATATATATATAGGTTTTTTTTTGCAACCCACAACTTTTGTGTGCATGAATAATGTATTTAGCTCCTGCCTATAAGTGGGCATAGGTGAAGCACTCCACATTCCATAATTAGCCGTCGACACTTCAGCGAGCCATGCAAGATGGGCACGAACAGGGGCACATATACCCAATTAGAGTTGTTCCTGGGATTGGAAGATATCGAACCACCATGTACCAGGCATTCGCGCCCGGCGCCCGGTGTGACATGTGCCACTGAGGAATACCTACCCTACTACAGCGACGAAGTCGACATGCCCATGGGTACCACCTTCGTGAAGCACTTTTCGGTGCAAGACGGTGCCTCGACGGCGACGGCGCCGCAATAGGATAGATCCAATGTAGGTGTATTGTTGCTTTAATGGAGTACATTCCACGATTCCATGGGGGAGAGAAAAATTTTTCGGCCTCCACGATTCCGACAGTGTGGGGTGACTTTCGCCGTTCCCTGTATATGGTGCGATGTTGGATGGTTTTCTTCGGCGGTTGTTCCAATTCATCGCAGCAATTCTGGTTGATCCAACTGTTGGAACATCCCATCCGTTGTTATTCCCTTTGCCTCCGGGTAGAACAAATGGTCGATGAGGTTGAATCTCACATCATTGAGTGAACTGGAGGCTGATGGATGAGGGGACTACGTGACTACGTTTTGTCTTGGATGCGTAGGCTGTAGAAGCAATAGACTCGACTCGCGTGTGCTGACCATGGAAAGGGCCATCCCAAGATCGATCTCCCAGCCGACTGGGACACAGAGACGTTGTTTGGACAGAGACGTTTCGAGGTGCGGAACTCTTTGACAACAAAGCCTTCGAAATCTCCAACATGGAGGCGCATCGCTTCGGTACATGCGCTGGGGTATCGGGTCGCAAGCAGCCATGTCATCGGTATAATCACACACACACACTAGACCAACAGACATCCCGGGTGCAACCGCCCTGTGTTTGTTCGAATTCGATCGGCTTCACTGGGTCCATCGTCGCCCCCTTCCGAACGTGACATAGGAAGGACGTGCGGTGGATGCTTGACACATTGAACGGATAGATGCGACCTCAATTCGTCCTTCCGGGAAGCCAGCAAAAGTGGATGAGATGAAGTTGGGATATGTTTGTTGTTTCAGCTTCTCGGCAAAGATCAAGAAGCCACTGATTTTGGATGGAGTTTGCCAAGCGATGAAGGGTTGGTAAACCATGGTAAACCATGGTAAACCAATACTCACGTGGGGCTGTTGGGAAACAAACACTCCATTCTTGTACGTTACCCAACATCGTTCTTGCACGTTTTAAGGATGTTTTAGGGCGATCTTTCTGCAAGTCAGTGGAATGTGTTTGAGCCCCAGCAGAGGCGCCTCGACGTGTTCGATTCGAGCAGTCTAAGTCTCAGGGAGATCACACCATTGCCGGACGACCGGTCGTCCAGCCGGAGCCCCAACTTCCGACTCGTGCTTCGCAAGGAATGAGGGAATGAATCTAAGGTCGTAGTCTCCAATGAGTCGTCTCATTCCCTCCTTCTGCTGAGCACCAGAATTGGAGCCACTTCACCCCGCCAAAAACCCCCTGGCTCGGAGGGACGGGATCCGTGATCGTCCAGGCGGAGTGCATGGACCCCATGTTCCGGCAGGTCATGGAGGCGACCCGCTTCGGCGGGCGGACGTCGACATCGGGGGAGACGACCTGCAGCACTTCGGTGTTGGTGGGGCAAACACCGAAGAATGGGGTGGTCGCCGGGCTGCTCGGGATGGCGAAGTTTAAAAAAACACATTTTTCTATATTATTTTTCTTTTCACAGACAGCAATTCAAAGGTGTTGAGGAGCCTCCTGAGACTTTTGGACCCTTATAGGAGCTCGTGAAGGCTAGAATTCCAGTTCAGGCAGCATTTCTGAATGAGGGTCCAGGTATCCAGAGTTGCTGTTGAAATTGCCAGTTCCTCGGTCGTTTCTGCAGCTCACCAGTGACTGTGCAGGTGGGATACCTGTCCACGCTTCAGATTGGCCTCACCAAGAAGCCCTTGGACTGAAAACCGCGTACAGTGGGTGGAGCTGGACTGAGCTCCAAAGGGACGTCTTCGTTGGAAAGTTCTTCCAAGAGAAAGAGAGTTTCAAGACTGACTGGTGCTTAGTAGGGAATAGGGGAATGGATCCAGAGGGGCCCACAGGGGTGGTTCTTTCCCACTAAGCACCAGTCAGAAGATGTTTGAAGCACCTCACAGTCGTCCAACCATCACACCACGTGGGGTGTGATCGTGTTGGAGTTTGATCGACACGAGTCGGACAGAGGTTCGAGTTGGAACGAATGCACCTGGTGTCACGACTCGTACGACTCGAACACGGTTCTCTCAACTCTGCACCAGAACCACTAACCACGACAGCGCTGTTGTTGACTTCAGCCCGCCCTGTTGGATTGATGGCGAACATTGCGGCAGCGTTGCAGTTTCAATGAGTGACCGGTAAAAGAGGCATGACACATGAAAGAACACCCAGAAAGGCTGGACATTTGGATGTTTTGGTTTGTTAAGGATCCGTTTGGGTTTTGGGCATGTTTGTTTTTTATTCTTCCCACATCCCGGCGAATCCAAAGTGTACTTCTCCAGTGGCAATGTTGACTATGTTGTTTGCTGAGATCTTAGGGGCGTTTCTCGGGGTCAGAGTCAGCTCCAGAATGCTCCAGACTTGTTTGATCAAGCTGATCAATGGCATTCAAAGGGAACCAGACCACTGCTTCCACCAGCTAAAGTCACTGATTTCTCTCTTCTTTTTCAGATGAGAACCCGACCAAATTATTGTGGAGTGAGCTTAACATCTAAGTTTTGCAGCAGTTGAATGTGTTCAATTTTTCCCGACCTCAGACACTTCGTCTCTTGCTGTTTGAGCGCTTTCGTCTCGTAACAATTGCTTCGTCTCATGCTCGAATTGACCAAGGTTGGCCAACAGCAAGTCGACCCATGCGTCCGTCTCGGTGGGTTTGGACAAGCAGGAGACTCCTGCGTCCGTCTCGGCGCAGAAGTGGAGCGCGTTGGGCTTGCGCGTTCTTGGGCGCGTTGGGCTTGAGTGACAGACTCCGGAAAGTCCCACGTTCTCCAATTCTGGTGTTGCCATGTGTTGCCAAGAATCCAATTTTCTCCGGTTAATATTGAGGTGCACAGTGACTCTACTTGGCCAGTTGGAGTTTGCTTTTTTCGTCTCTTGGTGCCTTCAGAATGTACCGAAAACCGTAAGAGTTCAATGTTCCCCGCAGGAGTGGACGCAGATGCCAGTGGCCACCAGCGTGGCCACCAACAATCAGCTGGCGATCGTGGCAAATCGCTTCAACTACGTCTTCAACCTGAAAGGCGAGCCTTGGGAAGGTGCCGAAGAGGAAAGCAAGATATGAGTTCTGACAGGGCAATGAAGAAAAGGATCCCTTTCTATGGGAAAGGGGCTGCACAAAGAAGTTCTGAACAATACTGGACGTTCATCACTTTCTTAAAATAAGTCTTCTAAAAAGTCTGAAAGGAGCAGGGTGTGAGTCCGACGTCGGGCAGGTGGCCAGTGCCAGCTAGTCTGATGAACAGCCCAATTCTTCGGGATCTTGGGGGATGCTCCTCATCAGCATCAGGGAGGAATGCTTCGACCTTTGTCGTTCGCATGGGGTCCAATGACAGGTCGCAGATGACATAGTGATCATCACACCATGTTAAGCGCAGCGTGCATGACTTGAACAAAGTATTTAAGCCAGTCCACAGTCCACCAGTTGTGCGTTCGCGGATGCATCCCCACAGCCGCGCGGTCTGCCCGGTTCACAGGTGGAAGCTATGCCTGCGACACCGCGTGCTCCTCCTCCCTGGTGGCTCGGGGCCTCCAGGAATGGGGTGACTGTCTCGGCGCTTTGGTTGTTGGGGGCTTCCAGGTTAGTTTAAAACCTCCTACACCAGGGCGGTGGAATGGCAATCATGGCTTGGTGTTCTTAACCTCCACCTCTTCCGAAGGTGGCCGTCCCGGATGACACTGCCCAGGCCACGCACCTGGGAAAGGTCAATCTCTTGGAGCAGAGGCGCGGTCTCGACCGCCAGGGTGCAGTCTCGACCGCGGAGCGGGGTCATACAGACGGACTGCGGACTGCGCCTGCCAGCTGGCGCAGGACACGTCGTACAACGCGTGTTTTTATTTTGAGGGGGGATGTTCTTTTTCCAGGAGGCGCCGTCCAGGTATGTCCAGGTCTCAGATGGAAGAGGCATGCCGCACAGGAAAGAGGGAACTCAAGGCTAATTACGCGATTGGTTCCCTGCAGCACTTGAGCACAAAACAACTTCTATAATGAGATGTTAAGAGTTTTCAGTATTATAGGTTTTGAGTATCAAACATGTCTATATATATATATATATTGAATATTGGTAAACATAATGCTTCGCATTGATTCACCATTCCCAAAACAGCTCCGCAGCGAAGCGCTTCGCAGGTGGGATCCTTTGGAGTGGCATTTGGGCATGGGCACTGGCCTCACCTTAACGGTGGGCTCCTTCATCCATGGCTGCGCTGCGTGAGGGACCCGAGCCTCGCTCTCCGGAGGGACTCGGGCTGCTTCCATGATACACTCCCACTCACGCACTTAGTCACTCACCCTGGAATTCCCCCTTGTTATGTGAAGGATAGTCTTCCAAAGGGACCATTGTTTACTTCCATGTGACGTGTTCGTCAGAGTCAGAGTGTAGTTGATTTTGAAGGTTCATTTGTTCATTTGGGATGTCTTAAGCATCCGGTTGGTGGATGCTTTGCGCCCTGCGCGAATCACTATGCACACCAGGGTTCATCCATTCACATTCACCCCATTTCGAACATGCTTTGCTCGCCCACAGATCTCCAAATCGACCCGCTCCAGAGTCCATGGGAGCTATTGGTCATCCGCCTGGTACCGACAGGTTTCAGTGATGTCGATGTCTTCCGATTTCGCGATGTTGGAGACGTGGAGACCTTCGCCCTGAGACGTTCGCCACGTGGTGGAGCTTCTGTTAGCCATCGAGATGGTGGTCCAATGTGGTCCACCGAAGAGGGGAAGCCTTGGTAAACACTGAACACTTCTGCCTCGCCTCTGAGGCACATGCTCTCGCCCGGCGGCCGATGCTTTACCTTCAACGTGCCGTCCTTGGAGTGGATGCTGGATGCTGGTCTTTGCTGGTCTTTGGGGGGGGGTCTCCCTATTGTAAAAATACATAAAAATACCATATCAGGTTCCAACCCCCCTTATAAATTGTAAAATCCAGGTGCCCATGGCCTTTGTAACCACTATAATACCATTTCAGTGGCATTTTCATAAGCAGACGCAACCAATCCTCCGACCCTCTCACATCCCATGGGCCTTTCCCGTCCCTTCCATGAGGCCACAGCCAACGGCTACAACCGTGGCGATGGCACGGCGGGTTTCATCATCAAGAGACTCGGCTGCGTCGTCGCTCGCAGTGTATCTATTACAGTGTTTTTGTTCGTGTAGAACGGCAACTCGCAGAAAGGATGTATAAAGAGAGCATCTAGAGTCAAACAATGTCAAACATAAATGGTGTTAAATATTTCTGAGTGTTGCTTTCATTCATCCCAACATCTCATTGGATCCATCGCATTTGATCTCGTCAATTGCAAGTAGGTTGGTTCCAAAGACGATCTAAGATACCAGTCAGGGCAGAGACCTTTGGCCACTGGGATCACTTAGGATCTAGTGAATCTTTGATGGTTAGGTATCACCTGTACCAGCAATGGCTTCACATCCAGGACATGGCGTGAACATTTGGTGTGAATTTCAGTCGAACCAACACCCTCTGCAGACATTATATTAATGTTGTATCATTTTGCAATACATGCCACATGTTGTTGCGGCTTATATGTACTATATATATATTTAAGATAATTGTGTATATAATATATAACACAAATAAGCGGAACAAGAGTGATGAACCCTGGTCTTCGATGTTCCAGTTGGGTCTCTCCTGGAGAAGAGTTGGCACACGAAATCAAGACTTTTCAGACCTGCGAAGCGCTTCAGACCTGCGAAACGCTGCCAAGGTGACCGAACGGTGCAGGTGTTCTCGTGGTTTCATGTCCCAAAGCCATAAAAAAGAATCTCCCGAAAGGACATGAATCGATCACACGAATCTATTCCATTCGTGGCCCGACATGGCCCCATTCCCGCTGTTTTCACACCGGGTGGGTGGACTGATAACGGTTGAAGCTGGGATGACCTGCTACTTTGATCAGTGACAGTTTGTCCAATAAACAGGCAGGATACCTTGTATATCACCGGGTTACATAAAAGTGTATACTTGGGGTACTATAATATACGTCCTCCAGCCCTTCAACAAGATATGCAATTCCTCGGTGTCCAGATGTCATTCCCAGGAAATGATGTTGCACATTTGTTTACTTGGTTGATATGATGACTATGGAGTTCCCTGCCCCCTTTCATACATTTCCTTGACAAACGTGTGCTGCTCCTGAGGGTGGTTTCCCTTCCTTGCTTTCATACTATATGTTACAAACATCAACATCCTAAAATTTCCTGCGAATGGCCACGATTTCCCCAGAATTGTTCAACCCCATGGCTTCATACAAACTCAGCACTAGGGCTGGAGCTTCCTACTAATAGGCCCCCTCCAGCAACGAGGGCCAAGCGCGCTTTCCCCGGAAGCTTTGCCGGTAACAATATATGATATGGGAGCGATTCCCCCGGACTTGCATACAATTCCTTGATAATTACCCAGTATGCTGCGTGCTTCCTTAAAAGGTGGTGACACTCACCCGCCTTTAAGACAGTTTGACAGAATGACATGCACATGTATGGCTTAATTGGGGTCCATCTCCCCATATTTTAAACAGCCAAACACTGAATCTCAATCCCGAATTCCCCCCACCAGCCCCTGGTAGTCCCCCGGTGCAATCATCGTACATGGTTTGGCCGTGCATCAATGGTACCCCCCGTGGTGCCTGGAATCTCGAACGCCCTGTGTGTCATACGTACTCAGACGCTCCATGGGACTGCCATATATGCCGATCAGTTGGGGTGGTTTGAGGGGTCAATGTAGGCATCTATGGCCTTGACCCTGTTCCCCTCCTGTTCGCACTGGCCCCGAATCACCCGGTTGAGTCCCACTTCGATGTGTATGGGTCGGGGGTGCCCCCACCCCTGAGCTGCTTTATTTCACTTCGTTTTTCTGCTGTCCCCCGACCTGTCAGACATATCCTGGAGCTGGCATTTCCAGAAACACTATGATAATCTATATGTTATTTTGAGACATCCTTTGTCCGTATCTCAAGCCCCCTATTGATCGAGAAGACTTGTAGACACCTGTCCCCCCACAGCTGCATACATTATTAATTAACAAAAAATGTAAGTATTCCACCCCCATCTGCCCTTTTGTAGAGTTAGACCCGGTGATCCTCCTGTATCCCTTTCCTTTGAATGAAAGCGGCGGGTGAAAGTCTCACAATCCTGGTCGTATGGTTTCCCCTTCCTGTGAAGTTGGATGAACTTGGTAAAATTACAAGGACCATAGACATTCACCAAGTTCAGGTTACAGGTGACGGTGGAGTCCTGTTTTTGCGTTTTTTGTCACCATAGACGGTGGTGTTCTGGTCCGTTTCCCCGCGACGGACCGCGGCCGGATGTGAAGGGCGGAGCCCCCCCCCCCCGCCCTCGAGGAATGGCACCTTCGAGAACGAGCGGCCGGGGACGCCGAGCGGACGGGCGGAAGGGCATCGTGAGGGCGAAGCGAGACGTCAGGGTGCGGCCTGAGGTTCAATGGTTTAAGATGGATCAAGATGGTGTGATATCCAGTGAGCATTTGTTCAATCCACATCCATGGGTCCAAAGTCAAACTTAATAAATCTGAAGTTGAGCTGTTTCCTTTTCAAAGCAGGGCCTATGCACTTCGAAGTGGAGTCCTTTTTGTGCTTTTCTGCAGCTGCCACAAATAAACATCAACAGTGGACCCAGTAAGACCCGAGATCTACAATAGTTCGGGTGCCCAAGATCGTGTTCTGCCCGTTTGGATTTTCTCCAAAAAGCACCCGCAGCTCGCTCCCAGCTCGTCGTTCTCCGTGTGCCGCTCAGCAGAGCACGGCAGGTTGGCCTACTTCCGTGGGTCTCAGATCGGCCAGGACGGCCGCAGCGCCAGCATGTGCGGGGTCTCAGAGGCCGAGCGTGACTCGGAAACGTGGGTCACGATGTGTCACGGACGTGACACGTCCCCGAGCTTGCTGGAAGAAGCGGAAACTTCTGGGTAAGTGTGTGTTTGTGTGGGTTAAGAACCTGGAACGACGCTGCGGTTTGATGTTGGATTCAAGACATTCTCAATAACCACCGCATATTACCGCCAAAGCCGAATAGATGGTTTTGAGGACTGGAGAGGGGTTTGGGTTGGCACATGTCTGGGGAAATCCCACACAGCACAGACACTTAGATTGATGTTCGCAAGAGCTAAATCAGTTAAGGCAATCCACTCTAGTGATTACAATATCGATCTACAGCGCTGGAACCTGGACCTGTCAACAGCCATGTGCAGAACGGTAAGGTGAAAGAGTCACAGTATTGTTTAACCAAAAATCATGGGTGAATGCTGCAGGTACGTTCAGAGAGTGCCCTCTCCGAATGTCACATCCGATCAACAGTCTTTGCTAGGCAGTGACTGTTGAAAGGATCACTGCCCCCCTGCGTTTGTCGTGCATGAATTCCATACTTGTTCAGTCGTCTGTGCATCTTCCTTGGAAACAGGTGTTGACACACACAAAAAGCCGTCACTTCGGCGCGCGCTCCTTTTTGTCTGTGGGGAAGGGGGGGAGAAAAGAGGGTGTGGGAGTGCATTGACCAAACGAGCCTTGATGCCAACCTAACAAGCCTGAAAGAAAGAACAAGGCAAACGAAAGGCAAGGAAAGAAAGGAAAGGTGCAAGGGGTGCGGGGGTGTGGGCAGGGCGTGCGTTGACTAAACGAGCCAAAACGCCGACCTAACAACCCTGAAGGAAAGCCCAAGCAAACGAAAAAGGCAAGGTAAGAAAGGTGCGAAGGGTGTAGGGTGGGAGGGGTGTGGGGGGGTCCTTGCCCGAAGGCGTGACGAAAAGCCGCAAGCGGCGCACCCTTGACTAAAAGGCCTGAATTACACCTAAAAAGCCTCTAGAAAAGCGAAAAAAGACTTTGAAAACGAATAGCAACAGCAGGAAAGAAAGAACCAAAATGTGACTACTTAGCAGTGGCCTATGTTTACCTAGCAGCATGGCGTGGGCATGTGACTACGTAGCCGCATGTACGAATCCATTCTGGAGTTTGATCTCAGTAAGCCCTGCGGCGTATGATCAGCACTTTCGAGCAGAACGATGGATCAAGCCGGGATCACGATGAAAGGATCAGGTGCAGGACGGGGTTCCGGGAGAGGCACCCTTAAGGGCATGTGCACATGCTGCGCCCCTCGCTGGGGATCACACCACAGCCCGCAGTGGGACTCTGTGGCGAAACGCACTTAGATTGATACTCGCAAGAGCTAAATCAGTTAAGGCAATCCACTCTATAGTGATGACAATACCGATCTAGAGCGCTGGAGCCTGGACCTGTCAACAGTCATGTGCAGAACGGTAAACTGAAAGAGTCAGCCTGAACACTATCGTTTAACCCAAAATTCTGCAGGTACGTTCAGAGAGCATCCTCTCCGAATATCACATCCGATCAACAGCGTCTTTGTTAGGCAGTGACTGTTGAAAGGATCACTGCCCCCCTGCGTTTGTCGTGCATGAACTCAGTACTTGTTAAGTCGTCTGTGCATCTTCCTTGCGAACAGGTGTTGACGCACACACACACACACACTTTGTCGCGCGTTCGTGAAAGTACACCCGTCGACACATTTTTGCACTCGGAGACTCGGAGATATACATAATGCACCTGGAAATGTTTGGAGACTGCTCCAAGCATAGGAATAGTGGGCACAAATTTTGAAAGCAGAAAAGCGCTTGTTTGGAATCATTGTGGACTGAAATCAGTGTTAAATTGCTTTGAAGACCTCATCCCCCAAATTCACCAAATCGTCATCGCGCTTGGCTCCGGACATGACGCTGCGGTGGAGCTTGCGATCCGGTGAGAGTGGCCGCAAGGTCTTGCAGGCCTCGGATACAAATGGGACCTATAGAAGCCATGGTGGCAGGTCTCCCCAAAACAAAAACAACACAGAACCAAGGGGGTGCGTTCGTGTTTCAGACGTCGCTTGCGTTTTCCACCATCGTTTCATCTCCGCGCATCGGTGATCTGCCCGAGGTCCGCGCCCAACGGGCCGGCGCAGGAGAAGTGCGTTCGGCGGCCGAGCATGGATGCGTTCGTCGATGCATTGCGGCAGTGAAGATATGGTGAAGGAATATATATATATAATATAAGGAATCGTTTTTAGTTGTTTTTTCCTCACCGGAGACATGGAGTGTGTTTTCATGTCATTAATTACAGAATCATTCGTGACTCAGGAAAATGCATTAGTCTCCAAATATCAGTTTTGCTGTAAGCCGCACTGGCGTCCGCACGGGGCGCTTGCGCGGAAATGGATATGGGGTCTTCTTTGGAGGGAAGTCCCGTCCCGATGGGTGGCCTGTGAGAGGAGTTGGAACTCGAGAAATCTTGGGATCATAGACCCTTGATGCATATATTAATAATAATCCCGCATATATTTATAAAATGCCCCGTGCCTTCCCGGACACGTGTCCTATAGGTGTGGGGTGCTTTGCGGGAAGCCAAGATGTCCGGAGGCCGAGGTGTATCCAACGGGCTGGCCCGATGGCGCTGGGTCAAAGCTGCGGGCCCTGCGGCTCCAATCCGCTTCACGAGTCTTCCAGACGAAACACAGAGGTCAGGAGACTCAAAGTATGACTCAGATTCTTTGGGAATCTTGGCGGGTAGACTTCTGAGCTGTAGGAAGATGTCTTTCCTGACCAAGCTGGAAAGACACATCGACCATCATCGACCCTTCTTCGCTGGAAATATCTGACAGCAGTAGTTAGTCAGCAATTCAATGTTTGGTCATGTGCGGTCTTATTTGTGTGAACATCCAGCAGCCCCTGCCCCTGGATTCGGGTCCTTTGGTGTTGCAAGATCATAATTTTTAAAGCCTTAAATTAAAGACACTCACCTGCCACTCATAGATATATTATTTTGCCCGTTGAGCTTCTCCAGTTTGTGCACCTGCGTGGAGTTTCCACTTTCCACCGTTTCCGATCCCCAAAGTACTCTCTTAAAAGCTTGCGCTTGCCCCGTGACGGTCGGTTTCCGCACCGAACGTCGGTCGACCAGTCGACGGTCCAAGGCGTCCCCCCGAGTCCACGGTGTGGGAGTGCCACGGCACCGGGCACGGACACCCGGGGCGCACCGCGCGACCGCTGGATAGAGACTGGTCGGGGCGGGTGGAGGTGGTGGAGGAGGTCATGAAGGCTATAGCATTATATAGCCAGTGGTTCCAAGGACTAAATCGAGACACCCTGGTTCCTGATGTAGTGGTAACTGGGCTCCACTGGGAAGGAGAATGGCAGGATGTCAATTGCATCGTTCTTTTCACATGCGACTTATATGGCCAAGGACCACCTTTCAGGCGGGACTTCATCGTAGAATTCCACGTTCCAATTCATGTCACACCCGTCACGTGTCACAACACATCGATACGATCTGACACTGCATTGCGCAGCACGGCGCCCTCGTGCGGGCTGCGGCACCCCGCTCTAAGGACCTCCTTGGGCGATCCCATCGAAGTGGGAGCCATCCGAAAGGCGCAGGGCGGGATGGGTCAAGCGGTATCAATCGAGGTCATGGGCTGACGAAACAAGTCACCCAATCCAAGCTGTGAGGAGTTTCATGAACCTTTCGGGCGTTGGGCCATTTTGTTTTTGAAGGGGATGTGGCAATCAACAGCTGTCGACATCTGAAAAAAAAAGGATCCCATGCCTCACGATCGCCCTCCAGGTCCAGATTAAGGAGCCTCGAGCTGAGCCCTTGTTGATAGCCAGTAGCAAGCCGGCCGCCCAGAGTACCTCTGCGTGCGCGGGCGATGCGCGCGATCCGGGCGAATGCGAAGGAAAGGCGAGGGAGCGTCCTGAGGAGTGGGAGCAGGTTGTTTCTGCCACTGACTGTCATTGGTTTTGCCTTTGTTTGTGGGTGTTTTGTGGGCTTTTGCATGCTTTTCGGCTTCCATTTTGGGTCGAGCTGGTCCAGCTCGCAACGGTGGTTGTTCGGAACGCCTTGTGACGGTGGTTTTCTGAGGTCCAACTTGGGACACTTGGAGGGCAGTGTCGGGTGCCCGAGCTACGCATAGCGACGCAGACGTATTTTTGTTGTTTTTCCGAAAGTTCGGACGGAACCGTGGGCGCAACGTTTGGACCCTTGACCCACGGACAGTGGAGAGTGGAGTTTTTGTAGGGATTTGAGTTGAGGCAAATTCATGTATTCAGGAATCCCCTTAGTGGTTGTTGGAGTCTCCAAGTGAGTGGACCTTTGTCCTCCCATAGCGACCCCTTTGGAACTGCTGGTATGTATGTAATTGATGTTGATGTGGTTTTCATGGCACCTTTTGTTTGGGTGGGAGAGAGATTTTGTATGGTTTTGCTCCAAATGTCCCTGAGAAAGAGCATCATTTAGGCTAGAACTGTGTGTGGCTTGGGCAGGGAGATGAGCTCAAGTTTCTTTTGAATCAATCTGCCCACACCCAGCTCGGCTGCTCCCGTACGAGCAACCGTGATAGTGCCCATTCACTCGCCGTTGCCTACCGAATCGTCACCATTCACTCGTACTTGTGTGGGTGAGGTACAGTTAACATCAGTTGACCCATGTTAACCCCTTTTCACCTCCGTTTTGAGCCTGGCCTCCAACGATGGCAACACTGACAGGCTGCTGCCATCGCCATGAACAAGTGCATCCTCATCGTGATGCATGCGATGGCAGTCACGGGCTTATCATCTTCTGCTTTTTCTCCTTTTTGACGCCCAATCTGTCGAACAGCCGGCAGCCTCTACACGATAGATGATAGGTGGTACTGGTATATCTGGTATGGGCCGGGCCTCATGAGCTGGTGACACACTGTGGCAACTGAGTGGGAGCTGGCCAGATGGCAGTCTCACAGGCTACTGTGAGTGCTTGAGTGAGGAGATCCCACGTGTGTTCTTCATTGATCATATTGATCCTTGTTTGTTTGCGGACAAGTGTAAAATTTTGTACCACATATAAGTCACCCACTGTCATCATCTGTCATCCCAAGACTAACACCAAGACAGCTGGCTTTCTATGTCAACCCTCAGGTTGCTTTAAAAGCACGATCAGCCCAACTCCTGCCCCAAATCCTGAAGGGAAGAAGCCGCCACACAAAAACCATGTCGCGGGCGAAAAACTCTTCCCGCGCGTCCGCACCCGAAGCCGACGTCGCCGCCAAAACGGGCCAACACGGAGCCAACGGCAGCCAGCCGAGTTGCCCACGCAGCACGTGAAAACGCTGAATCCGCACTTGGACCATGCGGCCTTCGATGCGATCTACACCACGGAGCACACCGCCAGGGGAACCCAGTACTGGTTGGGAGGAGGAGTATTGGCGGGGGAGCAGGAGCCTTGACATGGGGAAACGCATGTAAACGCATGGTTTAGGGAATTGAATTGGTCAACCACCCATCTTGGGCGGTGGTACTAGAGTACCAGAACGGTCTGGATTCTGGACGCCTCACGGTCTGGATTCTCCGCGTCTCTCCCCGTCTCTCTCCCTCCACACCTTTGTTACCCCTCTCTTTTTCTTTCTCTCTCTCTCTCTCGCTTCTTGTTTATCTCCTTTTTCGGTCTTTTATGTTTTTGTTGTTCTATTAAACAAACAAACTCATGTGTTTAAAAAAGTTTTTTTTTTTGTATCTCTATGCTTGTTCATGTTCACTAGGACAAGTACTGTAGCACGGAGGGCTTGTTGTTGGACTTCCTTTTTTAAAGTAAGTTAGTTTATAATAATACGTTTTTTTGTTTGGAGAATGAGTTGGAGACGCTGGGAGTCGAGAGTCATTGTTCATATTTTCTGGTCCATACTTTGGCCAAGTGTCGGGTTGCTGAGCCTTCCAATTCAGAAAGGATCAAGTACCTTTTCTGGAGACAGTTCCATCTACCTCCAGTAGCATCGTAGTCATAATGGCAGGTAAACAACACAATGGTTGTTGATTCTTGGTTGTTCCTAGGGAACTCTGGTCAATGGCTGTTTCGAGACTCACCTACACGAAGTCGTACAAAGGTGTCAGCGAGCTTTCAAAAGGGACACACTTTAGATCATCGCAACTGTGAAGAGGGTGCTGGTCTTTTTTTTCACTGAAGTGGTGTCCTCCTCCCCCACGGCAAAAAGAACCAGTTGTTTTGTCACGTGTTCACAACAACAACAACAACAACAACAACAACAACAACAACAACAACAAGGTACGAACAAAAGCTGCAGCCCCGTTACAAAATATCTTGTTCCTTTGTCTCTACAAGGGGGTGGAAACAAAATCTGCAGCCCCGTCGGGCCCGTCGTTGTTTTTTTGACCCCCCCGAAAACAGCCAGCCAAGTGGTAGTGCTTGTACTAGTGCCAGTACTAGTGGTACTAGTACTAGTAGTAGTCGTAGTAGTAATAGTAGTAGTAGTAGTAGGAGCAGCAGCAGCAGCAGTAGTAGTAGTAGCCTAGTAATACTACTCTGTAGTAGTAGCAGCAGCAGTAGTAGTAGCCTGATACTACTACTGCTGCTACTACTACTGCTACTCCTACTACTAGTAGTAGCAGTAGTAGCCGGTCAGGTCAGCTAAGCCTCTCTGAAACTTCTACTTGGAACCTCTGCCACATCCTAGACACAAAAGCTGCAACCCCGTTGTTGTTTTTTGGACCCCCCCTCAAAAGGTGTTGTTGTCTCTACCCCCTCCTAGAAACAAAGACTGCAGCCCCGCTGTTGTTTTTTGAGACCCCCTCCAGAGCAACACCTCAAAAGCACTAAAAATGGACCAGCCCAGACTTCAGTGAAATAAGTCCAACAAGTCCACCTACTTACGAAACCAACATTCGCTCAAACCTTCAACCATATCATACTCCCTAACCTTGTTCCCTTGAAGTTCCAAGGTTGCAAGTTGCAACATGTGACAATTGACAATTTTGTTGGGCGGCTGTTTTTTGTTTCTACCAACAACAACAGCAGCAGCAGCAACAACAACAACAACGACAACACCAGTTAATTGCAATGGATGTTCCCACTTTTTGATGTAACTGCTTCGAGGAACAAGCCTCAAGCAACTGCTCATATATAACTGGCTCAGGTCTACAAATATGCCCAAGGCCATTGCCAGGCAGCACCTTCCGCTCGCAGACCGGATCGGAGGGAGGACGCGACGGAACGTGCGGCGGTGAGATAGCGATGTGAGTGGATTGAGAAGGTCTTCCAGTGCTAATTGCAGTTCTTTCTTGTTCTGTGAAGACATGATGGTGAACATTTGCTGAATGAGGAGCGTGTAATTGGCCCCTTTTTGTTTCGGGGCAGGTAAGGGTTGGATAAGAGAAGATCGAATGATAAGGGCATTTCCTCATTTTGACAAATCTCGACCATGTTCCTTGGCTCCACCTACAAGGGATGACCTAATTACCCCACCCTTGCTACAAAAAAGAAACACCTAGTCTATTGAGGCGTGAAAAACCTTGGTTTTTCCTGTAGATCATCCCTAATCAAATCATCTTGGTTCATCCATCAGTCCCGGCGACCTCCCAACACCAAGTCCGCCGAACGGTGCCACGCGAGCCGAGTCTGCCGGCTCAGCCGGCCGGTGGCCGCAACCGCCGCGTTGCCGCAGGTGTCGTCCTTCGGTGTGGGCGGCACCAACGGCCACGCCATCTTCTGGGGCGAGAAGGCAAGGAGAGCTAGGAGCAAGACGCCGCTAGTAGCTCCTGGCATTACAACTAGTCACAAGAAGCTACTAGTAGCAAAGGGCATCGCTACTAGCATCTTCTATCTTCTGGGGCGAGAAGGCGAGGAGAGCCAGATCCGAAGGACCCCGGAGAATCACAGAGTCGGAAATGAGGAGCGAGATGGAAGAACCATGCGCAACACTGCGGTAGCACGAATTAATTAATGGTATGGTTTGGTTTGATGTTTGATGTGCATGATTTCTATGGCTGTGTTCAATCTTGTTAGACTCAGCTGTCCCAAACAGGTCCCTGACTGCCAGGCCCAACCAGATGTCGACTTCCGCCGAGTCTTCCTCAAGAAGATCATGCGCGCGACGCCACCCATCGTCACCGAGGGCACCACCGACCCGGCGCTCTGGGATTACCGGGGGTCGGGAGAGCCCAGATGGGTCGGTCGACACCGACGTCGCTTCTTCCCTTATTTTTCTCCACTTCTTTCGGGTGACCCAGATAGATGGGTCGGTGAACGGGGCCAACGGTAGATATAGGGAAATGATGTGAAATGGGTTCTTCCAAGTGACCTGTTTGGATCTTTTTGGAGTACATGGTTTGTGACGGTGTGACCTTTTATGAGCCGGTTTGTTGGCATCAAACCCGATGAAACCAGGGGATTCCCCTAGTCACTTGGAAGAAACAGGAAAGCTGGAGTCGATGCAGAGGAACATGAACAGGGTTGATTGTTCCACTGGAAACCAACTCAACGATCTTTGTTGTGAAGTTAAGTTTAGCATAGTTTAGCTCGTCATTAATATATACCTGAAAAGCCAAACGACCAAACTTTTCTGGTCATTATTCATTGTGGAAAAAACACATAACGTTCATGTTGTTGTCCACATATAGCTTTTACTCATAATGACCAATAATGACCCCAAAGAGTATTGCAGGCCTGCCCATAGCAACATCGTATATTCTTTAACAGTTCGTTGATAAAAGAACGTCAAAAACCGTAGCAACTCCAGATAATACAGCTGTAATGACTGAGAAAACAGATCTTCTCCGCCGTTTGACCCCAGACGGCAGAGATTCTCGGGTCGGGTCCACCCGCGAAAAGCAAGGTTTGGTCGTTTGATCGCTCACCCAAAATGGTCGTTTTCGTCTGCAACAACACGAATTGAGGTATTTCACGTAAACAATCATAAACATATCATACATACACATATACATTATACAGTATGATACAGTATATCGATGTTTTGCATGTGTCGTTTTTGTTTGCCTTGTTCTTCTGGAAAAGGACGGAAAACGGTTTATTCTGTATGCAAGGCTTACCTTGCAACATTCCAAGGTCTAAGATGTGTAGTTAGTGTAGTTGTCAGACAAGTCTGGAACGTCCTGTGTCATCCATGTTTTGATGTGTGGGTTCAATCAACGACCACGAATCAGACTCGGCTGCAGATGCCTCCGACCCTTCCCATACAACTCGGATGGCTGAATGAGAGTGCATCGAGGCTGGATTACAAGGCCAACATGGGAGACAGCTACAAAGTCTGCTTGGAGAAGGCAGCTATCCGTCGGACATTCATGGACATTCACTGATGTTACAGGATTTCACGCTAAGACCAGTGAAGAGTGAACGCTTCGGGAGGGCCATCGTGCAATAATCCTGCCGATTTCGGTGTCAACCCAAGTCCAAGGCTTTTGGTGTCAACAACCTGGAGTTTGGATCTCCAAAACAAGTGTGGTTTCAAGTTGTTTCAACATGGAGGGAGGAGACTTTATCGCCACTACCGAGGCCATCGTGTCATGCCTCAGTCCTTTTTGCACCCGGACCTGCTAGATCGAACGACAGGGCAGCTGGGTCAGCGTTATGGGGCTTCCTCGAACCGTAAAACCGACGTGTTGTTTGGATCGGAACGTGAACGAGTTCAGCACGTGAACGTGGAACCCCACGGCCTGGGTGGAATGCCACGAGCTCTGCAACGAGTGACACCCAGCCCAGCGGTGTCCAGGATCCTTTGACGGGCGAAGAGACTGTGACCTTCGAGAAGGAGCAAGCTGGGACGTCTCAGAAGGGTGAAGGGTGCCCGGAGGAGGAGCATCATGCAGAAACATCATGAAACCTCCGAATGTCGCATGTTTCGGGGGTCCCCCACGCGAACGTGGTCGCCTTTGGGCTGGGTTCGCCCTTCACTCCCTCCCTGAGTTCCGAGCACCTTCCGAGCAGCACGGAGCACGGCCGCTCCGGGTGTGCACGGCGCCCCAGGTGAAAGAGGACCCCGCCGAGTTCTATGGCACCACCGGGAACCACAACGACTGGGACGTGGATCGCATGCAGGAGGGCAACGTGCGGAGCGCCTAGTGGGCGCCGACCAATGGGAGGGGAGATGAGAGGTTGGGGCGATGGAGAGATGAAAAATGAGACGGAGTGGAGGTTGTGTTTCAAGGATTTGGGGAGGAAGATTTGGCTGCTGGGAGAAAGATTGTGAGATGATTAAGTGTCAATTCCAGTTGAAAACAACTTTTTTGTGTGTTTTTGATATTTTTTTAATTGTTTTTGTATTTTGTTGATGAATTGTTTTGACCAACAGCGGCCTTTGTCCCATGCAGGTCAGGCACTCTGCGGAAGTCAAGGGCGGCAAAATGAGCGTTTTGCGAGGTCACTCAACTTAGAAGTCCCACCTGTCTAGAGGTAGTTTGTTCATGTTTGTTCATGAAGATATTTGTACATACGATTGCATAGGCATGACAAATATTTGCCATGTATCATATACAATTGAATCTCCGTTCACTCCTACGCAAAAAAAAAACACAACAACTGGATCCGGCTCCCACCAGGAGGACTGAAATCCAGCACAACTGCAAGCGTCGTCCTTTTTGACATCAAACGAGCCAGTCGTTTGACCTGATAAACCTGTCTTGGGGATTCATTTCCCCACTGCTGCACAGATGTACTAGTAGGTGTACTAGTAGATGGTCTATGGTGCACAGGTGAACCAAGTTTCGTTTGGTGCAGGTCGAAGCTGACGGAGATCAGATCCCAGATTTGCCTTTTCACTCCTCATCCGCGCTAGACAGACCCAGGTCGCAGGGCTCTACTATCAGGACATCCCTGTTTCTTGGCCGGGTGGGTCCTGTTGTCGGCGATGCAGGTGGCTGAGGCCTAGAGATGAAGTCTGCAATGTCTACAAGTATCCAGAACAGCTTTTACATGTAGCTGATTGGAAATACGGGGCTTTTTTTATTCATGTGCCGATGCTTCATGGGTACAAGCATGTACAAACGGAGACTCCATGTGCTTCTCAGAGAAAGGAACATGAGTAGGAACATGCAGATGCCTTGGGATGGTTGAGCATTTGATTCTGTTCCACAAGAGGGCATATATATACAGTTTGTTGTGGAGCTGGATGCCAACAAAGAGGCCAATGGCGGCTGCCCAAGAATGGTTGTTGATGGGGACAACGCCCAGTCTGGTGACCCCAAAATGGACCTCATGACCCATCAACCACTGCTGGACGACTCCCAAGGATTATATACTAAGACACACACGTGTTCTTGTGGTCCTACAAGCTCTGAAGAGCAGTTGATTAGAAAACACATATTCGCATAGATATGATAGAACCTATTTTATATAGTGGATGATAGAAACCGTAGCAGAGGCCCCTGCACTACAGGAACGGCACTACTTTGCTTGGGGCCTCGGCACGCCTTTTCCGGTCAACCAGACCCCGCCTCCCGCAGGTCCCACTTGAGCTACCTGCTGCACCACCCTTTGTGATGATGGGGGAACTATGTCCATTTCACTTTTCTGCATCAAATCATGAAAGTCTCCCAGCTCAAGTCTCACTCCCAACTCGCAACGAGAGACCCAGGCCAGGCCCAGTTCCCCACTGGGCCCGACTGCCAGAAATTCAACATGCAGTTCTTGCATCTCTCAACCCCAAGTCATTCCTCTTCCCACCCTCCAAGTCATACCCACCAACCCTCTCCGCCTCTTCCACGCATCTCCGCCCTCGCCCCACCGGACCCCCCCGAGGTGCCGGAGGGCGGCACCTTGGAGTTTCGCATCCTGGCACCTTGGACTGCCCACAAAGAGTGGACGTTTTGAGTGGGAAGACGTATTGGCTTTGTGTTTTTTCTTCTTGGTCGCTTTGGATTGTCGGTATTGATCGTATGCTGGATTGTCAAATTGACTTATGTTTGTGTGTTTGTTATAATCGATAATTTATAGATTTCGTTCGGGACCTGAGCACTGTTATGTGCCAGAGCGGCAGGTGGTGGTGTAATTAGGTGACCATGAGCATATCCAAGAAGTTGATGAAAAGGACCAAGAAGGCCAGGTTTCAATTTTGCTTGCACACCCGTTGGATGGTCCTGGTAGAAATTTATACCGTCCGCTTTGCCCTGCTTGCGCGCCTGTGCGGCCTAAGCGCATGTAACTGCGCATGCAGATACACCACGGTGCCCAGCGCGGCCGTGCATCCTCGTGACCTGAGGTGGATGGAGATCCTGAGAAGTCCGGGGCCCCAACGGGGCCGACGCAGTCCGAATGCCGTGTTTTGTTCAGTCCGGCCCATCTCTTAGGTTTTTCGCGGGGGTACACGGTGTGTTTTGTCCACACTGATCATGCAGAGTTCAGATGGGAAGTGGGACAGATGATGGGAAAACAACTCTGTTTGTAAAGGACAGGACAGTCTTCACCTTCCGAATGTGAGGACCCTGCCGTGTAAAATCTTTGGGGTGATTGACCCTGCTGGACCGACTGGGCGTTCTATTCTTTGGGAGATGTGCGAAGATGGTGTTCCCACGCTCCATGGGAGGCCTGTTCACCTATATGGACATATTGTACAGGTATAGTCTTAGTACTACAAGTAGAGTTTCCACAAATCGAGTCTTGGATTGTTTGATTCTTGGTTTCCTGGTCTTCTCATTTCAAACCCAAGCAAGTAGCCGAGCCCGGCAGGCAAGGGGTGTCACTTTTGTGAGGTTTTGCTGGAGGCGTTTTGCGTTTTCCAAGTTGTTTGGCCATGGCATGGTGTTGTTTTGAGCGCCCACTGATGTTACCAAATGTTTGTGCCAGGAGCCTGGCAAACATCATCAAGTTCCACAAGACATTCGGGCAATTCGGGCACTGAAGATCAAGGGCACTACCCCCAAACAGCAACAAAGATGAAACTTACAGGCACTACTCTCATGAAAAGAACAGAAGATCCGCCGGGACGAGGCCCACCAAATGCATGATCCACCGAACAGGGGGCAGGCTTGAAGCCTGCCGAACGCCAGGAACATCGGCCCGCAAGACACCACATCGCCCGGGCGCCAGGAATTGCTGATGGGTGTTCCTTTGATATAGAATAATGTCAAGTCAGGATGAAATAAATCCCCCCTAGTTAACCCGAGCCCACAAAGCCGCCGGAAATTGACCAACTTAAGAGTAATCCGGTCCACCGATTAAAAAACACGCCCCCCCCCCCCTAATAAGGAAACCTCGGCCGCATTTTTTCTAATAGGGGGGTCCCTGAAATCGGGGGGTCCAAAATAGGTCACCTGGGAAGAGCTTCAAAACCAAAAAGTAAATCAGTAAAATTTTATATAAAATCCTTTATTAAACTCGTATCAAAAAAATGCAAAAAAGCTCCAGATCGAAGGGTCTTCCTTCCCCTACTAAAACCTTCATTAGAATAGTGATTCTTCAGTAGACTAACAGCTAAAGCTTTCGAAAGGTGATGTCGCTGTGCCATGCGGTGTTGCATGACCTCGGTGGCAAGTGCGTTTGCGTGAGTCCGTGCCATTGGGGGAAGGAAAGCCTGCTGGTGTAAGCGCGGCGTGTCATGGTGGATAGACAGGGCGGACAGAGGTGGGCAGTTACGGTTGTTTTTGGAACCTAATTAAAAAAACTCCTCCAAAGTCGGCAATGTTGGTAGTTTAGTAGCGGCTTGAAAGGGCGGTAATTTAAAAACAAATATAAACCGTATTTAGGGGTTTCCGACATGACTTTTTTCTAACAGGGGTCCGTTTTTTAATAGGTACTCGGGATTAGTATTGTTGATTTCCCCCCCTATGGTCTAGTTTTCTACCAACAATCCCCCCCAGATAATCCGAGCCCACAACCAGGTTAATTTTTCGTATTGCTACTACTACTACTGCTACTACTACTACTACTACTGCTACTACTACTGCTACTACCGCTACTGCTACTAGCTATTGCTGCTACTGCTACTAGCTATTGTCTTGGCATTATATTATTAAATCTTAATATGTTATCGTATATTTTGTATACTTATGTTTGAATCTTCCTTTGGCTTTCCTATATATATATATATGAATGAGTGGTGGGAGTCCTTGGACCTCACTTCTCCCAGACACAGCCGGCGCCCGGCGCCCGTCCCGTTTCCGTCGCGGTTTCCGTCGCGCGGCGGCGGCGGTTCAGGGAAGCCTTGGCTCCGATCATGGGCCCGGAGAAAGAGCTGCCTCTCTTGGCTCGCTTGGGGATGGTGAAGAGCAATCAGGAGAAATCGCAGGAGAAATCGTAGAAATTCCTCCGCTTTTGCTCGTCTTTTCTCGTGATATTATGTATCAGCATAGTATCGTGACGGTTTTCTTTTTGTGTAGCACAGAACAGCTCGGTCCTGGCATAAAAGCCTTTCGGGCGCCGGTGTTTTAGACTGCAGTGAGTGGCATTCCTGAGGACCTGGATGGATTGCTTCAATGGATCAAACCCACTGATCGACGTTTGGAGCAATGTTTGGAGATGTTTGGAGCCATGCTTCATGCTTCCTGTGGTGGATGCCCAAAACCACCGGGAAAAACGTATCATCCTTGTGATCATGCGAAACTCTCCTCTCCTTGTCCTTGACCGCGTAAGACTCGCGTAAGACTCGCGCATCAGCGCGCCAGGCGCACGTCTTGGCTCGTGGAAGGCCCGCCCGGCAGCGTCTTCCGTGCCGGGGGACCTGGACGTCCGTGTGGTGTGGAGGCCGCGGATCGACTGGTGGAGTACTTGCAGTCTGAAAAGATACAGCTAGGGTTGAAACGACGATTTTTGACTTGACACACACGTGCTGGTTTCAACAGAGAACACTCTTCCTGGGTTCTGAGATGAAAAAGAGGAGATGGAGAGCTGGCCGCTTACATGGGTGTGGATTCCATTAAGAACCAGTTCGCCTAGGAAGAAGCAAAATAGACCCGAACTACCAGGCCAAGGGGGGTCTCCAGTGGGTTCAACGCACACCCAATACACACCATTACTTACACACCCACATCACCAATTCACATCATTTTCATGTGAACATTCAGGCTCCTGGCACTTGCACTAGATGGGTGAATTCTTCCACAATTCCGACATTCCAGACAGTTCCTTCCGAGTTGGAGCGTCCGACACTCCAACGATCGACGCCTCTCAGGTGGAGTTCCTCACCTCCACCAAGGCGGGAGCACGTTTTCGAGCGCCGATGACCGAGGGGGGAGCCGCGTTTTCGGACGTCGCGGAGGGCGGATGGGAGTCGAATTTTTGGGTTGGTTCCCTTAGGGCGCGAGAGTTCATGATTTCTCGACCTTTGGGAAAGGGTCGATCTTTGGAGAAGTTTGATGTATCATGATTGATCTGTCAACATGAGTCAGCACGCTGAAGGGGTAGGAACTGTAACACCTGAACGGAGTATTTTTTTAATGACCGACTCAGTTGCCAGTGTCGTTTGTATACATTATTCGGAGGTTGGCATTGGCGAAGAAATCGCCCCTTCCATCAACCTTCCTGTGTTAAACCTCGGATTGTTTCAACCAGTGATTTCAGGGTCGATTTCGGCCAGTTTTCATATGTTTTTCTCGGTTCGGGGTTGATGGAATCTCATGCCTTCCTGGGACACCGTGTGCTGTTTCAAACGGAAGCCGAGCCGCAGTGGAGGACTTGCATAGCTCAGTGAAGCCCAGAAGTATCTCTTGGCTCCCGGCGACTTGGCAGATCTATCGAACCGGGGGGATCCTTAAATGGGTGTGATGTGTATTGATGTGTATGTGAACAGGAAAGCCCCCCACCAATGGGGTGAGGCGATCTCTTGTCCTTCTTGCAGTCAAACAGGGGGTCTCCATAGTTGAGCAACATGACCAAGTCAACATGAATTCCATGCATGATTCTCGCATGATACACATCGCATCCCCTGTCCTCGCCGGCTCCGGTCACTTTGAGCCGGACGCATGGCATGGGTGCAGTTTTGGCATCAAGTTTTGGCGTGTCAAGCGCCATACTTCATTGTTGTGGCGTGTCAAGCTCAAGGGACGCATGATTCAAGGGTCGTTCAATAAAAAGCGGACAGTCGCTCCACTGCCCCACTGCGCATGGGGAGCTGGCAGTCTTCGACTGCCTGATGCAGTTGGGTTGGCTGCCCCCCGGGTGACTCGGGGTGTCGAAAGTCTTGGCCCTGAAGTTGGTGACTTGGGGTGTCCATATGTGGGCTCTGGTGATTGGAAGATGCCACTCCAGGGCCGCATTGGGTTCCTTGGTTGACACTGACACGGTTTGTTCATGTTTGTTCCAAAAGATGTTCCAAACAACCGTCGGAACATCAGCCAGCCTGAGAATGCCCGGAAGATCTATGTCCTGTTGCATGGGCAATATTGGGCAATATATAAATATATATGTGTTTTTCCATGGGCGAGCTGGTCTTGGAGCTGGTCTCGTGCCTGATATGAGTATAATATGACTATATAGATGGCACCTGTTTGTGCCTGAGCTTGTGTCAATTGAAGTCATTGTGCTCCACCATTTCACTTCAAAAACCACCCCAACCAGTGGACCCACGACGCCCGGACCGATGGGAACGCCTGAAAACCGCCTTCCCCAGGTGTCCTGACCGGGCGCCGACGGACGAGTTCCGGTTCCTCTCCTGACCGATCCGCGCGCTCACCCTAGTTTAGGTGATCACTCTTCCGATGTCAATCATCAGATCAAGCACAGAGTCAACAGCGAATCTCCATGGCAGTCAAGGTTATAGTTGTAACTATACATATACACATATACCAATCAAGCCAACGGTTTCTTCCAGCAATGTTGGTGGACGTTCTGGTAGTTGGATCATAGTTTAGATGAACTGGTTAACTGCAATGTCATGTTCAGCTGTTTGGTTTTCAGCGAGTAGATGCTACTTGCGTCGCAATGGGAAAAAAGACCCTGGGCGGTTTGCAGTAGATGAACAGGTGTCCTTCCTCTTGCGCATGCAGAACTCCCCTGCCTTGAGGGAGCTGGTTCCTCTACCACAAAGACACTACAAAACTCGAGGAACCTGTAAACTGTGCGTCTGCAGTTTCTAAAACTGAAGGCGTCGACCCACTTGTAATACCTGTGCGTCGACCCCTCTGACCTCACCATCGATTCGAAGCCGTGGAGGATCACCGTTGGTTCCATGACTGCCAGAGCTGCGTTCGAAGGGATATGGGGCGCGTGAACGGCGCCCTGAACACACTAGAAAAACCATAACAATCCAGAACATAGAATTCAGAAACGATATAATGAAGAAATACTTCGCAAATGTTCACAATATTTCAACACACCAGATGGTGTTTGGACCATGAGAGGTGATTTCTGTGTTCTGAACATGTTTAACAGGGAGTCCGTGCCCTGTTGGCGGCAGATGGAGGTGCCGTGGCCCTCTTACTGTGTGAACAGTGTTACTTAGGGTGTGTGTGATTTTTGTCGGCAATCTGCATGTGCTTCTGGCTCAAAAGGAGGGCATTCCCCCCTATGTTAAAGATCCGAAAGAACAGGGATGACAGCGGTGGAAGACGTGGGCGTTTAGAAGACAGATGACGGTGGAAGACCGGGCGGTGCCAAGTGTTTGAGCCCGGGCCGCTGCATTCGGGTTCATTGAAACCAGCACATACTCAAAACATCTCAAAACTCACCGTCCGTCCTACCCCAACCACCATGAAATCAGACCTCCATGGGACGAGCAGCCATGACATGGACAGCCAACTCTAGCCAGTTCACCTACTCCAGCCAGTGTTGACGGTTCTTTGGTCCAGCCACGTCTGACGTTTGTGGACCTTGTGGGCGCATCGTACGCACGTCACGCAGTGTTGCGGACTCACCGTGTCCATGGGAAGCCAGAGATGCCCAGGAAGATGAAGATCGATCGGTGTATCGAATCAATTCCGGCAAACAAAGAAGGTTGGCACTTCCGTTCATGTGCACAAATGAAGATTAATTAACATGCAATTAAAATCTATGGCCAGTCACTCCAGTCACTCCAGTCAAGTGCTTCTTTGCGTTTGCTTTCCGTCGACTGCGCCCGGCATGGCGCCCGGCCATGGCGGAAGCTGAGCGCCTCTGCGCTGAGCTGCGAGCCTTAGCGAAGGAGCGCCGCGAGGATTGGAAGCTGAGCGCCTCGGCCAGTCCAACGTGGAGCGAAGGGGGCGTGGACGGAGCGTCTCACCCAGTTCCCCATGTCGCGACGTGGACCGCTCGTTGGTAGGTCATTTGGTCGGTAGGTGAGGTCCAGAATTCCACGACATGGGATCTGCCATTTGCAGACATACCTGGACCCTCCGACCTTCGAGGTGTCCTGGCTGGACTACCCCACACTACCTATAGGCTTCCAGACAGGGCGCCCCGACAGGAGGGTCCTGGTACATGGGAGTCATGAGAGATGTGTCATGTGAGTCATGTGCGCCATTTGTTTCACCCCGACGCGATCGTGTCGTGGTCCGGAAGAATATGCCTCCATATGCCTCCGCAGGGTCACCCCATTGTATGTGATTTATATATATATGTGATGGAGTGTTTGAGTTGGGTATTAAATGTGTGATAGAGTTGATCGATGTTTATCCTGAAAGAGGAGATGATAGGTTGCGGGAATGGTGCGGGGGGGGTTCTGACAGGTCTGCCAGAATCACGACCATTCTTCCAAGGCCCTCAACCCATCAGCCCAACCGTCCCTTAAGACCCGAAAAGCACCACCGCACTGCCACCCTCAAGGCTTTCATGAGAAAGCGTCCACCGCCAGCGCCGCCAGCGCCCGGCTGCGGGAAGAGTGGCGCAGCTGGCGCGAGCAGCTCTTGGCACAGGAGGTGGCACAACTGCCCGATGGCCATCGTGCGACTTGGACCTAGGGGATTGGTCCAGGCCATGTGCTCCGCAATGTGGTGTGCAATGGGGTGCAGAGAGTGAGTTTCATGATGCTTCATGTATATTCATGTGGCATATGATGGCATATTACAAGTTTATGCAATTACGCAGTTGTGTAATACCGTGTAGTTATATTATATAATTGTATCTGATGTATACTGCGGCAGTGCACCATAGCAACCTTCCGACGAAGCCAGCCTCTTGAATTCGCAACCTTCGTGACCGGTGTGGCCTTTGCCATCAAGCGGTGATCGAGCCGAGATCGAGACCAAAGATGGTGCATGGATATGGATACCTCCCAGTTCAACTCCCTGGAAGGAAGAAAATAGACCAGTCTACCCCTTTGGGCCAGTGCTTTTTCCTATGGAACCCAACGGTGCTTATTAGTCAATCTTGCCTTCCAATATTCAATATCGATTGTGGAAGTGTCCCATTCCCATTTGATATCCGAAAGAATGCGGCTTGTAGTTGAAAGCGACTGCAGAGTGGAATTTTTGCAGAGACTGGGGGACACCCTTTTCAACCTTTGGGGTACAAACTGGGAGCTGTGCTTTTCATGTCCTGCTTTGTGTAGAGATATTTCAATTCCATGTTTGACGGTTAATTTTGATTCGTTGTGTGGTGAGTTTGCTACGGCTTCAAAAAAGCAGTGAATGTATGAAAGCAACTACCTCACTACTTCTCTATAGAATGGCCTCCCGGCCGTTATTTAAACAAAAGTCTGAGGCACGCCAATATGCTCTCTATCTAAACGGTTTTCAGGGCTACCAGGATTGATCCTGTTCCTGATTTAGCTCGAGCAGCGCATTAAGTATATATATATATATAATATATGTATACAGGACTGACGGGACAGTGATGTTGGATTTGTTTGTGTTGTTGTTTTCAATTGTTTGTTGGCCCATTCGATATAGCACTGTTTTCTGATCCCCTTGCTTCTTAAAGCCTTGTCCAAGGCCTTGTGGATGGAAATCATTTGAAATCCAAACATGTGATTCAACAGATGACAGATAAATTTGTAAGAACATCATCTCCTTGTTTGTCGTTTTCAAGTTCTGGGGTTTTCCGCATTGAGTCTTGAGTCTTGCTTCAGGTGCTCCTGCAAGCCTTGCTTTGCGAGATGCTCTCCAGCGCCTTGTTGAATTCAAAGTCGCCGGGGAGGATTCAGATTCAGGTTAAACCCATCAAATCATGGTATCTATCTCCAGTCTGGTGATGTCTAGTGATACTGATGTGAAAGGACTGCTGGGTGCTCTTTTAAACCAGCTCATTTCAAGCAATGAGACTTGGAAACCAATTGAACCCCCAGAGCTCTCAACTGAATTTTGCACTGTTCGCTCCGGTTCCTATCCTGTCCAACACATACAGCCGATGTTCATGAACCCACAACAAACCTTCAACCCAAACCTTGGGGCCAGGACAGTATTTTACACCACGTATGACAATCATGACTTATGACCGGTAAATCATCCGATCACTTCAGACATCAAGCCCATGCCCCCATGTTCCCAGGCTATGCCGAGCTGCTGCCCGGCTTCTCCGTGCCGCCCACACCACGCGAGCGCGACTCCCTGGCCGCGCGGCTCCAGCAGCTTGCTAGCGCCGCGCAGGCCGAGACGCTGCGGCGGCTGGCGGACCGGCCGCGCCAGGCGCCGGCGGCGAGTCGAGGGAGTCGAGGGAGTGGGACCTACTGAGTGGGCACTGGGCTTTCGATCATACTACATTATAACTATATCATTAAGTTTAATTACAATATAATTTACATTGATAATTATTGAGTCTACAATGAACTGGGCGCCCTGGTGATATATAATTATATACTCAGTTATGTTACTTCATGTATGTCAGTGCCAGTGCCTGTCTTTCCGAACCTGAACCCATCACCTGTCAGTCGAGCCATAGTCCTGCGGCAGCAGAAGCCGTTGAAATTGCGATGCTTTTCATAAATGATGTTCGAAACAGACAACACTGCAGCAGCATCTTCATGTTGAAAAACTGGAATGCCTTTGGCATGTTGTTTGCTTTGGCACCTTCACTTCCAACATCCAACATAGATCTGACTCATAATATAGACACTCCAACCGCTCTTCTAGGTGCACCACTGTTTCGTTGTCACAAGGAGTCACTGCGTGACCCTCCATTCGTGGTGAAAAGCTTTGGTTTGCTGTCAGGAGACCTCTTTCCGCTCTGCGCACACCTCGATGCTTTTGCGGAAGCTCGATATCTCGGAGCCACCGTCTCCACGCAGCTCTGTTCTCCAGATCTGGGATGCCTGGTATGCCGCCGCAGAGAAGCGATTTCAGACCACCGCCCGGCGCCAGGAGCAACTCCTCCACCTGCGCCGCC